CCCACATGGGACTGAACGTCAGCTCGGTCGTTTGTCCGTCCGCACGCAGACAAAGAACAAGCTCGCAAGCAAGCGGCCGGGTCTGCTCCGCGAGGATCCCCACCAAATTGCGGAAGTCGCATAAAATTACCACTTGTCACAGCGAACATTGCTGTGAGTGTGAACCTTTAGGCGTGTGCCGATGGGTAATGGAATTTCGTCTGATTGACTGCTCCAGCTCAAATAGCGTGGTCATCAAAGTGGAAGCACAGCCGCACTTATCACAAGAGCATCGCCGGGAGCGGTGGCGGAGCTTAAGATCGGAGCGTCTGGAAGAGATAGGAAGTGAGGAACCGCAGCCGTGGCTGGATAAGAGGCTTCTGAGGGGAATCAATACGGAGACTGATCACTCTACTGATCAGTCGATCAATGAAGTAATCTATCGAGCGCTTCAATCACCGCGTCGATCCATAGCATCCCGGCTTCACGATGCGAGGCTGCTTAATAGGAAGCTGTGGATCGCCAGCTAATGCAATGTGGAAAAAGCCATCTCACTAGTCGCCGGGAGGATGTCAAGCGGGCCAACTGTCTCTCAGTTGGTCGGTTCATGCCCCACTCCGGCGGAGAAGCCGCTGAATTCTAGGATGAGTTGCTTGGCAACGTTCTGCCCAATGAAGCTCTTGACAACGAATGGTTTCCGGCCCGTTCCCGCGTTTGATAAAACTTGCTGGAGGGTTCTGTAGAAAACAGTTTTTTGCACAGTCGAGATCGAGAGGAGTATCTGAAAAAAAACGTTGACGACAGCGCGACAGCCTCAGGATCAAGACGCTTCTCTCCGGTTTCTCGATGACGAACATATCGCCACTCCCGGGATCCGACCATGAATCGACAGCGGAGAGAATTCCGCACGAATGTTGCGGTGACCTCGATTGTACACCACGCAGAATCGTCCGGACAATCGAACTCTTGCGCCCCCGGTCCCTGAAGCGTTGAGTACATTCTCAATTCGGGCTGATTGGAGCGCGGAACATCTCCTCGGGAGCTCCTCTGGTAATAAGATCGAACCTACAAACATATGTCCTAAACGAGTCCACGTCGACGTCCGCTATGGTCTACCACGGACTGTTCTCAACGGCAAGCACTGGGAGGAGACATTTCTTGAGAGCCACACATCTCTTCGTCGTGTCGGACGAGTGAAGCGGGTGGCAGGCAACGCAAGGACAGCGGCGACAGCACATCACGGGAGAGCTCCACGAGGGATGGAGCAAGAGAACAATTTACAGAAATGTTCGGGTACAAAGCCTTTTATTACGATGGCACGAGCCGAGTTGAGATCCGAGCGGTCCGTCACGAAGCAGAATCGAGGCTAATGACACCTCTCTCGACAAACGCGTCTGCCTGGTCGCTCTCCGGTCGCTCCGTTTGTTTCGTTTGCGTACCCAATTCGTCAGCTCGCGGAGCAGATGAGCGGAGAATCTGCCAGATATCCGAGCAGCTTCGTTCGCCGACACAGAACTCCATGAGCCAACGGATAAGGGACCCGCGCAGACCAACGATTGAGGAATACGCCGGCTGTCTGCTCGAGGTCAGAGCTCCGACCAGTCTGGTTCTCCAGGCCCGGTTGGCGTCTCTCGGAAACGGTGCATTGATTTGCGAAGATGCCATCGCTTGTAAGGTCCGGGGACATTATTACAGCTCGACTTTAAGCCTCCTCTCGGAGCCGACTATTTCGAGCAGGCGGTGGAAGTCGAACAAAGTTTCACAAAGCCTGCAGCTCGGCTTGCAGTCGGCAGAACTTGATCTCGGTTCGAATAATCGGTATCCGGAGGAGCAGGCTAGCACTAGACGACGACAATGGGGAACTCTCTATCTTCAGAACCTTGCCTGATTTCGGCCAGATCGTCTCCGGAGAACGGGACCAGCCTTATTGTGAGGGAGAGGAGGAAGCGTACCGCCCCAAGGTTTGGAGACTTTCGACATTCGAGTGGGATGTCGTTTTTGCCTCGTTTCGCGGGAAACGCTCAGCCATCATCCGACCGATTACCTCGGGCGATGATTGCACATCATTCGTTTCTCAGGAGGTGTGCTTCAGAGGTGGTGGATCCCGACATTTTTTAACCTTTTGATAGAGGGCAGACGCTGGACTCCTTTGAGGCTCAGACTTCGCATCTCATGATCCTATCCCCGAAGGATCCGCGCCCACGAACAAGCAGATCCGGGTGAACGAGTCGTTGGGGGACAAGGATTCATGTCGAACATGGTCTGTGGTCAAGCATTCAGAACTCAATTTCCGGCTGGATCGATACCACCAAGAACTCATCCTCTTCGGCGACACAAGCATCGGAAAGAGCCTCAGTATTCCCAGATGGCTCCCTAGTTTGGAATGAAGATGGAAGACCATTCCTTGGAGCTCGGCGATACCGCCGCGATAGCCACACTGCGAAGATCTTATAGCTCCTTATAACCGGGACTTCTCGAGCGCTCGAAAGACGCGTACCCGAGCTCCGAATCAGGGTCCCTCGGCCCGATCCTGAGATCCTGAGGGTCCCGATGCGCGATTCTGAGAGGTACCACGGAATGGATTACCAATGATAACCCGTTCCTTCCGCGACGGGACGAATCAAATCGAGCTCAGCGAGGAGAATCCCCGAAGAAGGCGGATTTCGATGCCATTTCGCGAGATCGAGCCAATGAAAAGGGTCACGGGCCTGCCTGCGGTAACAGCCAGATACCATCTTGGTACGCATTCGATTATCATGAATTAGTCATAATCCGCAATGCAGCAGAGTTCGGAGTTCGCCACACCTTCGGTCACTCGCCTAGTGCACACTCGGCTGACCACCTGGATCGATCCATCAAGGTGGGACGACCATTTTTCCGGATCGTCGACGCGACGCCTCGATTCCACGTTCCGTCAGGAGTACATGTCAACAAAAAAGGCGGAAATGACGACGACGGAGGAATCCTTTGCCGATCCTTCGCGGAGCTCCACTGCAAATTGTTGAAATAATCGTCGTTTTTGATGTATTGCGGACCCTGAGTCAATATTTGCTTTTCTCCTCCGAGACTGGCGTCTCCTATACCCTCTTCGGCTGTCAGGTATTGGCAGCACTCGAAAAGTCGATGGTCAACGGGTGGACCGGTGTTTCCATTCGACGATTGGACTGTATGATTGGAGATTGAGCGACGGACAATAACGTCGGTCGCCGACGGCTGCTCTTGTTGATACTCAGCACGTCGATGATGCTGATGGTGATGATGACCTCGACGACGGCCTTTTCGTTTGGTGCTCCGGTAATGATCTCACGAGCGTTATTTATAGCCAACCGATTGAGTATTTCCCGAAAAGAGCTCAAAGAGACGTCGAGAATTTTTTAGGAGTTGGATCGGGCATATGCGTGGGCTGCTGAGGAGCGGCTTACCTTCACAAGATCATCAACTTTGAGAACTCAACTCGATCCGACGTGAGGTTTCAGATTCTCAATCCCAGAGCACAAGGTTGCGAGCAGTCTCGTGTTTGTATGTCGCCTCCAGCGATGGCAGCCGCGACCCCACTCCGGAGAGAGAAACTCAGGGAAAAAAAGGAGACATTTATTCTGAGCTGCCAAGTCTCGACACTTCGTACCTCCAACTCGTCTCGGAGCCTCTTATCAGATGGGGGAAACGTGCTCGTGAAGCGTCTGCTAGAACATTAGGTCAAATGATCAGTCGCGCCGAGAATCACCTAAGGATTTCCCAAAAAGCCCGAGTTCTAGCAGTTATGGTTCTAGGACACATACGTGCGGAAGGCGGATGATGGTCAGGTTACACCGTTATCCGCCCGAGGTTACGCCGCGGCGTACTGAATCATGCCGCGAATCCCTCCCGGATTTCCTATTTCCTGAAACTCGCTTCGCTCTGCGTTCCACTCGTCCCCGGAACTTGTTTGAGTCTTCTGTGATTTGTGTTGAACCCCGCGTTGTCGCCAATGATGGTTCCTTCTCGCTCTTGCCAGTATGTTCAAAACTCGAGAATCACCCGGGAAATCCGATGACACGTTTCGAGCACCTTCAGTCAGTCTCTCTCAGCATTCCCCCTCACGCTGTCAGGCTCCTTGAGCCATGCCCAATCATGATTCTCTCATTTTTCCCTCGGGACGGTATCACCCACCGCCTCGTCTCCATCCACGAAGGTACTTACCTGGCGATAAGTACTCACAGCGGTTCGAGGGCGTCAGGAGAACGAATCTCTTGTTCTGAAGCAAGGACTGGGACTCTCGTAAGCGGAGCGGAACTCAAGCTTCGGTTCTATGAGGCTTCAGAGCCGACTCCTGATCCGCTCCGAGCTCTGTGAAACGAAGTTGCTTTTTTCAAGCACTTTCAGGCGATTGGAGTCCACTCTCCCTCGGAAAAATTGGCTCCCATGGGGGCTCGATTCGTAATACACCAAATCGCTCAGATATTTCATGAATTATTCAATGGAATCGGCCTAACCTCGCCAGGGCAATGGAATCGTAGTCTAGCCTGTTTTCGCTCCGGGTTCGTGGGGCTCTGAGCTCAAATCGTCAGAGGATTCTAGTTCGAGTAAATCGTCGTTATTTGCTCTATGTCTCGTGTATCGCATTCGTTCAAGGGATCAGAATACCCTTAATTTGCGAACAGATCGATATTCTCCATTTTGCTCGGTGTGGTGTCAAGAGACACACACACTGAGGTGTTGCCCCGAGGAGACCTAGCTCGTGGCGGGTCTCACACCTTCTCGATGCGCGGCGAAGTCAGTGAATCAATCGTTCTTATAATTTTCAGATGAATTGATTCACGAGCCGGCCGTCTCGGCTCGTGGAGGGGAGTGGGGAGAGTGAGAAAAAATCGCCCGTCATCATATTGCAGCCCTGGGCTCGGATCATGGAGGAGCATACGTTCATCGTGGATCCGTCCACCCGGCGTCGCTGCGGATGCGACCCGAGCTCAGTGTGTGACTACTTCACATGCGGGCTTCTCACTTGCTACGCTCGACAACGGATGCGGAGAAGGAGCGACGCACTGTACCAACGGTGAGTGATGTAGATCCGGCCCTACGGATCGAGCTTACGAGAGCGACTTTCCTCGCTCTCTCAAACGGGGTCCTCCGACAACATCATCGGGACGCTGTATCCCGATAATGTAGTGAGCTCTTCCATCGATGGACCATCAGGGAATCTGATCTGGGCTCGAATCAGCAGTTTTATTAAATTAAAATATTCCCCCGACTTCTCCGATCCTGATATTGGCGCGCCACGGGTTCATTCTGGAGTCCGGGGAGGTTGAGGGGACTTGAGCTCGACTAAGTGGAGCCTGGATTCAGGAATTTTGCGGTTCTCACGCGTTCCGGAAGGGACGAGGGACGCGGAGACCCTCCTGGGAGGTTCCGGCAGCCCCTCGCATGCTCCTTGGATCCGATCGCAACCACGATAATTAGCCGCGAGTCAGGAGCGGGCCCAACGCTTGTGAGAGTAGCTGATCACCGAGTCACGAGGCTACAGCGTTGGATCCTGATATCAGAATTAGATTATCTCGTCGAGATCCGGAGAAGTCGAGTCCCGTCTCCGAAAGCATCGAGATCGTCCCGGATTTGAATTCGAAGACGCGGAGGCTCTGGGAGTTACAGCAGCAAACAAACAGCGGAACCGGGAGCGTGACCCTCAGAGAAGCGTCTCCACTCGAAATCTCAAGAGATTCCAACCCGCAGACTGCGGGCCAGGAAGTTTACTCTTCGACTGAGTGAGAGTATTTGCTTTGAAACCGAGTATCATTCACCTCAGCTCTTTGACTGAACTGTTGCGCGACCTTGCCAGTTCCTCCCGTCGTTCAGCTCAATTGCGATTCCGGAGAGCGACCTCGCCCGGCTACGGAGTAATTGATCCTGCGATACGGATACGTAGTAGACACGGTTTGATCGACGCGGTGTCTGAATTTCGGTCACCGCCTGGCCGGGTCGTCTGAGGAGGCCACTTGACATTGGCCGGGTGTTGATGGCCGCAATGAGGCGTTTGCGGACGTTCTGAAACGAGCCATTGTTTTTCCCGCTCTCGACGGAATGGATCCTTCTTGCTTCTGATGATCCCTTCCGGTGAACGGGTAAGGTCAATCTTCTCGAATGGAGTCTTCTTGACTCGAATGGATCCACTCGATGATATGATAACTCTTCCCGCAAGTCGATCTGGGCATAGACGTTCAGATCGGGACATTTTCCCTCTCGGACTGCCGTCGTTTCCTCTCGCGAAGGTCCCACCGCAGAGACGGAACTTCACCCCGTGTGATTCCCGGATACGGGGCGCGGGACGTTTACGTCGCACGTCGTCGTTGATTCCTCGATCGCGAAAACCTTGTGTCGCGTTCCGCGTGTTCCGCTGCGGAGAAAATTGTTCCCTTCCTCGGAGAGTTCTGGACAGAGAGCTTAGGGAGAAAGTTTGAATTGCTCTGAGTGATTTCGTAATGGCCACCACCATTCAAAATCCCCACGACGCCACTAGACATAACTTTCCCGGAAGTATCTTAATGAGCTCGGCGCTATTGTCGGGGGAAGCTTCCAACATGTTCTCTCAGCAAGAGGGAGTGAGAGTCGCTTGTTCTGTCGGCATCTTCTTGGATTCATTTTCCCAGTTTTTCGCCCTTGAGTCCATTGCCTGATGATTGGAGCTACGCTGCGAGCTTCCACCGGAGTGTGGAACTCGTTCCTCCCGCGGAAATAAAGTGATTTATTCTCGAAAGTTATTCCCTCGCCAATTTTTCCCTAAATACTTCGACGGAGTTCATACGCCTATTCGTGGCAGAAGTGATTCTTTTGCACAGACTTACGCGCGGAACCCTCCTTCGCGCTTCTACCACCGGAGCAGATATTGTGAGAAGGAACGCTCTCCTATTGCAGATATTTCCTACACTTGAACAAACGGAGTACCTCGGCGCTCACCGCGATGATGGCGGTGATCTGCTTGCTCGTTCTAGCCATCGAGCTCGCGGTCTACCAACGTTTTTCCATCTTGTTCATAGTCATTCTCAGCTGCCTGAGTGCCATCTACCTTGTCATTTGCTTTCTCAGCCTACAGGTAAGTCAGCTCATGACTTTCGCCACGTCCGCCATTTCTGCTGACCCGTGTTTGTGTGAATACCTAAACATGCACGTATGCTTGCTTGCTTGCATCTATGTACGTATGTATGCTCCTTGTTCCGCGGCTTTCGGCTCCGGCGAGTATGTGAGCGGGGCTTTATGCGGTGCTCCGCGCTGATAACGAAACAGCAACACCTCGACGGTCGGTCAGTCTGTCTATCTGTCGGCTCACCCCTTCCGGCCCTTCCCCCACTCACCTGCGAGCCACTCGAGCGCAAAGCGGACATGTGGCTGCTCGCCGACGTGATTGTCTCCTCGGCGTATCCGTGGGTGTGTCGAATTTTTTATGGGCGTGATTATTGTTTACCTTCGGAAAAAAACGACCCCGTGTTCTTTATTTAAACGAGAAGCAAAACTCCATGTTGCAAAACTCCCGCTAACAAGCCGGTGCGGGGAGCATCTGCCAACTTCGTACGTACTAAAACAGTCACCGACGGTAGCAGCGACGACTAACGGTTGAACGCTGACTACGAGCCACCTGCTCTGCAGGTCGCTCACGGGTTTGCCCCGATCCCTCCACACAATCCCCCGAGAAGTGTCTCAGCCTCTCCCAGAATTAACCTCCCTCCACGAATAGCTCGGCTGGAGACGCTTCCCTCCCCTTCCCCGTTCCACAGGTCTCCCCTCTGGCCGCCGGCTCGATTTCTGTTCCCGAATCGACAACAACCCGATTCCCACGCTTCGCTCCCCTGCCGTCCTCCCCCGTCTGTAAGAGCGTTCCTTTCCGGCCTGATCGCCTCTGAACAACATTTCAACTCTCGGCCTTGATGACTCGCAACTGAACGTGCTCGATGCAATTCTCGTTGTCTCCGATCGCCTCGTTGGAGACCTTTTCTCGCGAAAATCAGATTTATACGAGCGTTCCGTTGGTCGGCCGCTGCCGTTGTTTGTGCGGAGGCTCAGAGTGCACTCTCTGCCGAAATAAACAAACAGCTGTTCGCTGGACCTCGTATCGTGAACCAGTTCCGAATTTTTCGAAACCAAATAAGATTGTCGAGAAAACCTCATTTGGAGAATCTCCTTAAGCTCCCCTACCCCTCGAGGCCGCCCGAGCAGGACCTTCATCGTCTGGTTTTGGCGCCCCCGACGCTGAGCGAGCGACCTCTCCAGCTCAGCAGTCCGAGCGCCAGCTCATGCTGTTTCAAGGAGACCTAGCGGCAACAGTAGTCTTTGTTTAATCATTCACCACCGGCTGATGCTGATTGGAGCAGCGTCTACAATCCGTTTTCCGAAGTGGTCGGAGGCGTGCTCGACCGATCCGGAGCCTTCACCACTAACTCGATCGTTTCCTCATTAACCTGATTGTCTCGCGTGCTTCACGCTCAACCTACTTCACCACTCGAGCGACTTCAAGTGATACCTGCGAGACCGTGTTCCGGACCGCGCATTTACCTATACATTCCGCGTCCGAGATATCTTTCCGCTCGATTAAACCAGAGTCTCTATTAGAATAGACGTACATATAAATCAACGAATCGAGGGGGACTCATGTCCCAGTCCGGAACTCCTCGCAAGGTTCAAGTCCCTCATCGGAGCACGATCATCCGATACGCCAGATTAGGTCCCATTGTCGTCGACGCCGACGGCGAGCGCGGGAAAGAAGCTTGAACCGCACCAGGGCTCGGGAATCTTTCCGCTTCGATAAAAACGGCTGTCACATTCGCCGCATGAGCCGGGTTTGCGTTCGAGCGGATGCACTCGCCACCCTTGAAGAGAGTTTCCCCGCTAGAGAGTTTTCCAGGACAACGAGCCTATTCGGACCCATTCGGAGCGTAATTCGATGCCTTTGGATTTATTGCAGTCATTTTTCCGACAAACGCAGCTCGTGATCAGCAACTACGTGATTCTGGTCAGTTTCATAGGCCTGGCCGCTGTACTTGCTGCGGATTTGGGGTCTTCGTCGCCGTTATTGTCGTCGGCGTCATCATCCTCGGCGTCGACGTCGTCGTCACCATTGCCAACTTCATCATCATCAGCAGCGACGTCGTCACCCTCATCGCCTTTTTCATCCTCATCATCAACATCACAAACCTTAGGAGATGGATCAGAGAGACGCACTAATCAAAGGTCAGGTCACATCTGGGAGTTTTACTCCCAGCACTGGGCCGGGCTTAGGTTCTCCCTTTTTTTGATCTTCCCACATCAGGATCGTGGGTGATCTCGGAGCTAGTCTTCATAGTTTTACGGCTTGTCTCAACTATCTCACGTTTCTGTTGCAGATTGTACTCTGGGCTGTGGCTTTGTATGCTTCTTATTTACAAAGCGTACACTCTCGTGCCAGTACGATTGTTAACCTGTTCATTGACTGGAGCAGCTATACTCTTGTCTTACATCGGCTGTGAATACCTCACGTTCGAGAGAGCCACAACCTCCGACAAGGCGAAGGTAGACCTGTGGGAGCAGAATCGCCACCGTACCGCGCTGTGTGTCGTAAGCATGACCGCGTTGGCAAGCTCACCGGTTTCTCTCATTTATTCACAAAGGTCCTTTCGTCCATGTGCCGCGCTCTGCCCATATGTTAGAGTCGCGCTCTCTAGAAACTCCTCGACCATGAGTTCCACAGGAAATCCCCGGCAGACTCGTGCTGATGCTTATGTCGTTTGCGGCATTTTGTTTGTGGCGCGTTTCTCGGGAATTCTCCGATCCCCATCGAGGAGTGAGCTCTTCGCTAAAGCTGTAGAAACAGAAATGAAGTCCTCCGAAGGAAGATTGAGTCGAGACATCGACACTCGGAATTCATGGCAAACTTTCATGAATACGAGGAAGACTTGAAATTCTGTTCCATAGAACTTCGAGCTGGTCAGCTGGTCTAATCGTCTATTAGAAGTTCCTCGCTGAACTTCGACGAAAGCCCGTTGTGGTTCTGGCACATGCATATAAATGATTTTTGCTCGGTTTAGCTTGGAAACTTCTCCGCCACCAACAATTTCGGCCGAGGAATTAGGGTTTCAGCCGCATCTGGTTGCGATTGTTTTCGAGTTTTCTTTTCTTCTGCTTCGCTGGCTCTACTTCAGTGTCGCTGCTATCCTTTAATTTGCGATCGCTTGTTCGGTCATACGTTCCTCCCGTCTTTCTGTTCATCGGTCGGAATCTGTTGCTGCTCGCGAAGTCTCCACTTTGTTCCAAGCGAGGCGTCGCATGCTCACCGATAGCTTCTGTTGCTGCTATTGTCGTTGACGCCGCCACGGTTTCCGCGATCATCGATTTTATATCCGCTCTGCCTAATATCCTCCGAGACTCCAATGTCTAATGGTGGCTGTTTCCGATAATTATTCGGCGCAGATGATTTTCGATATGCTGATGCTACTGGGAGCCAACGGAATCGCAGCTTTCTCTCACTACCCGTCGAAGAAGTCGCAACGGCAAGCTTTCATCGAAACCCGAGGCTGCATAAAAGCCAGATTGAATATTCAGCGCGAGAACCAGAAACAGGTTTGTGTCCGCTTTCCCATCTCTTTTCCATCCGTTTTCGAGAGTGTTGTTCCCGGAGATTACCTTGACGCCGCGTTAGCCTCCGGATCCGGCTCAGACGGGGCTTTGCTGCGACAGAAGCTCTTTCGTACCCAGAGATGTCCCGAAAGTGGTTGTACCTTGCATCTTGGAAAATCAGAATCGAATCTTCAAACCTCGGGCGGCGACCTGTTTCCTTCTATGGCGAATTGATCCGACGCTTATTCTGCCGCTCTCTACACCCAGTGAATGGCGGCAACTGTATCTCGTGTCCCAAGCGGATCTATAACACTCGAACATGAGAGGGAGAGAGGAAAAGAAGCAATTTCGAGTAAATCTTCTCCTCACTGCATCCTTACACTGCATCCTGCCAAAACAAGAGTGCGCCATCAACCCGAAGGCCGATTCCTGCAAGTAGATTTCGGCTGCGCAGCAAAGCAACCGGATCGGAGAGGGGTTCTGCTAGGAGAGGAATGTGACTTCGTCTCTGAAACCGTAGCGTGCTCTGATCGTTTCTTCCCCTTTCAGGAACAACTACTTTTATCGGTGTTGCCCCGACATGTCGCGCTCGAGATGAAGGCCGACTTTGTCAATAAGCCACAGGACACAATGTTCCACAAAATCTACATTCAAAGACACAACAATGTCAGGTGCGCATGCTCCTGGGGATATATCCCTTTTCTGCTATTCGGATACAAAAACCCCCGATCGAATCAGACTCTCATCTATTTGTTGCTCCGATGCCCCGAGACCAGCAGGAAGTGGGAGCCTGGCTGTAAAAACTCGAACGGCAAGGATGGCGTCGTAGAAAATGATAAGAAAAGAGGATAGATGCGAGGAGTCAAGCGGCGAGTGAAAGAAGGAGGTTTTGGTCGGAGTGGGCAAACTGAAAATCGCATTGCGTTGTGTTTCCAGCATTCTCTTCGCGGATATCTGCGGCTTCACTTCTTTGTCATCTCAGTGCACCGCGGAGGAAGTTGTCAAAATGCTGAATGAGCTTTTCGCCCGATTCGACAGACTCGCGGCTGAAAACCACTGTTTGAGGATCAAGATCCTAGGTGAGATTTCAATTCTGGGGCCACGGGAATCAAGATTCGCACGAATCCCGCGGAGAGCTGCGTAAGAATTCCCCCCACGGAAGCAAAAGCATCGACTACAGTCCTCGTCGTTCTGTTGCTGGATACTATCGCTCGGCTTGTTCCCATACGAATTGTCCACTTGGTATCTGACGGGAGCTCGACCCGTTCACCTATTCACAAGCAATAGAACAGTCGGAACGCAGAGCTGAGAAAGCTCATGAAGGTCATGAAACTCACAACCACTCTCAATAAACTTTGCGAGACCGTAAAGTATAAAAAGCATGTTGCAGCAACGAGCAAGAGGAAGAAGACGTCATTCTCGTTGACAAGTCTGTGATAGTATCAGTACGGGCGATGCTCTCCAACGATCTCTGCTCACGCACTACATTCGGCGATGCGAGAGCGACGACTTATGAATCGATAAACCGGATCAAAAGGTTCAAACCCTTTTCTTTATTCCGACCCGCAGGCGACTGTTACTATTGCGTATGCGGACTTCCAGACCCTAGACCTGATCACGCGCACTGCTGCGTCGAGATGGGACTCGATATGATTGAAGCGATAGGGTAAGTAGATTAGCGCTTCGTCTGACTTATTCTGAGGGACAGCTCGCTGAAATTGCCCGAACTCAATCCATTCACGTTCGTTGCCAAACCTTTCAGGCTTGTTCGGGATGTGACAGGAGTTGATGTGAACATGCGGGTAGGGATTCATACGGGCAGAGTTCATTGCGGAGTGCTGGGCCTTAGGAAGTGGCAGTTTGACGTGTGGTCGAACGATGTCACTCTAGCTAACTACATGGAAGCAGGCGGCATACCAGGGTAAGCTAATAGAGCAATATCCATCTATTCGGTAACATCGAGGCAGTGGGGTCTGGTTGTAACAAGCGTCCTGGTTTCCGAACTCTCTTTCGCGTGTCGGGTCCGGCGCCGGCATAAACCGACGCTTAAGGCTCTCTTCTGCTTCGGCACGAGGGGAACCATACAGAAGAGAATGAGCGCACTGCGGTGTAGTCTCAATTTCCTGCGAGTGCATTACCTTTAGTTTGGCGGCTAGCGCGGCAATGAATTCGGTAAGTGGAGAGCCTCTTGTGTTTGTGAAGCTGAACGGGTTCTTACCGTTTTTTTTTACTACCCTCTTGCACAGTACGCCAGTGTTTGCGGGTGAACGCCACGGAGTGCCTCCTCGTTAGGGTTTCCCTCCGTGCCGCGATCGGCTGTGGAGTTCTCCTCGTTCCACGCGAATTCTGCGTGCTAGCAATAATAATCCTCTGTGAGAAACGTCGCGTTCTCACAACACGATTCGCATTGCTCCGGGCCTTCTAAGCTCTAAATGCGATATTCGCTCCCGAGGGAACGTTCCTAAAAACGTACAGTGCCCCAAATCGAGCCGCGTTCGGACAGTTGGTGGATTTTTGCACCGCGAGTCCTGCGGGTACGCGCGCGTGTAGGCATCCGGAGCCAAAGTCGTGAGGTGACGGCAGACCAGCTGCGGTCCAGGGGGACACAGTCGTTTTTTTTTCTTCCACTGGCTCTATAATTAAACGGGCCCGCAGTGGATTGAACTGTCGTTGAGTAGATCCAATTGCCAGGGTGTTCGAGTCGGCCCTGACCGGCAGAGCGAGCAAGGGGGTTGGCTTGGTGTGGGCGTTGGAAAGACCGAGCTGCGGGTGCGCGCTTCTGATTCGAAAGTGACAGCTTCATTAACATACGTTGCTGACATTTTCATCCTGCGCGCGGGAACTCATCTGGCCACTTGTTGAAGGCTCTCCGGTTCAAGCGAGACCCCACGGCTTGACAGCGATAACTCGCCGTGCATAGACGTCCTCGTGGCCCGAACCGTCCTGTTTACTCTCGCGCCGAAAGTCTGATCTGCCGCCAGGTTCGTTAGTTTGAGCCTCGAATCGAAGATCGACATGGTCGTGCAGGGTAGACCTCTCATTTTGATCTCAATGCAGCCCCTTACCGCGCTCAATTCTACCCTACTCAGCACCCTCGGTACCCTACGCCTATCAGGCGGTTCCAGTCGGCTGGCCGGCGGCTTAGTAGTAGAGTGTTGTGAAGCCGTGTCCTGAGGGCTTGAGCCCGACTTAATTACTTGACAATGGCTCTGCCATTGTCTATTTATAGGGAGGAACAGGAGCCAGTGACGACGACAACCATGGCAAATGAGGAATCGACGTGTCTTCTTACTGAAGGATTTCGCCGATCTTTAATCCCGGCTACGTGTTTCTGCCGAGTTTTGTAGCACATGGCAAATAAACGCTCACGGATTCCTTCACTACGCAGGCGAGTGCATATCACTAAGGAGACTCTGGATTGTCTCGGTGATGACTACGAAGTGGAGGACGGCGACGGCGGTTCAAGACACAATTATCTCCGGGACAACAACATCCAAACGTTCCTGATTGTGGCGAACGATGCCAAACGACTCGCCCAAACCAGTGACTCTCATCAGAGCGGACTCCATTCTGTGTCGAAGGAGATCCGGATGATGGGTAAGTGTTCCCGGCATGGAGCAGCCGCAGCGGCAGGAGAGCCTCTTGGCGGCATCAGCCGAACGCTGTCCCGAGTCGAATTCAAGTCTCGTCTGCAGACGTTCTCATTCCCAAAAGCTTCAACGACGCACGATCGAAATCATTCAGCAATATCATTTGAACCCGAGCGGAAAAACAAAGAAAAAAGGCGGAATCTCTCCCGAAATTCGAATAGCTCCGCTTCATTTCGGCTCGCCTCCGAACACAGTGGAATCGAATTTTTGTTGCGGGAAAATTATCTATGATGGAGCATGTCTTCGAGTCAATGCAGGATTTAGACTAATGGACTCGCCTGATCGGATCGAATTATTGGCTGCAGCCAGGGAAGCCGCAAAATTTCGCATTGTGGAATGTCGAAACAAACAGCTGAGAATAGACCCTCGAATCACGTGGATTCCCGCGCGTAATCTCAATTCAATTGAATTGAAACTGTAATCATCCGAGCTATTCGAGGGGAATCCTCGCCGTGGATGGCGGAGGAGATCCCAGGGGGAAGCAGAGATGGTATTCAGCGTCGTCCTTCCCGACACGCGAGTGACTCAAAGGGTCCCATGACGTCATCAGTATCGACTGGTTTCGTGATCTTTGTGAATTCTCTCGAAGGACGACGGACTATTGACGAGAACAAGGCTTCTGCTCCGGTCCCGAAAATCCTCACCGTAGAATAAGCGTACCGTAGAGCACCCGATTTCGAATGCGCCCGGTTTTGAGAACTCCACGTTGTTCCCTCTAGGTATGGCGAATCAACATAGAGGAGACAAATTCCACAATCGATCGTGGAAGAAAAGCGGCTTCGAAATGAAGAAGAACTCACACGATGAGGTGAACGACTACTTGAGTCGAGCCATCGAGGCGCATAGCATCGAACAACTGCGCACCGTACACTGCAACAAGGTGAACAAACCATGGATCTTGCGGAGCATTGAGGGAGCCTTCCTGCTTCTTCTCGATCGAGAGAAGCTTAACGAACTTTGATTGTGTTACACTCTGCAGGTCACTCTGGAATTCCTCGACAGAACCCTAGAGAAGCGCTTCCTGAAACAGGTCGAGCCCATGCTAGCCGTTTACCTGATGTCGGCGCAGATCTGTCTCGTGGTTAATTTCGTTGCACAAGCCCTGCTCTTCGATATGTGAGTTGTGCACGCGACGACTGACGGAGAAAACGAATTCGGAATGAGAAATCATGCCCGTCGGTCCCAGAGCTCTTTGTCCCTCCCGAAGGCGGAATCGCTCGTCCGCTGCTCCCTCAAGATCCCTCTTCCGCGCCATTAACTCGATTCTTCTTCTCGGACTCAAAACAAACCCTGCATTATTGAAAACGGCCGTCTCGCTCTCGCGGATGGCTCCCAATCTTTCGCTTTCCCCAGAATCTCATGAATTTCGCACTTATTTTGTTATTCAATTCGAACGTTCTTCAACAGCCCGACATGGAAATCGGCCACAGTCTTTACTTGCATTGCCTTGTTGATGGTCATGATCACAGCCGCATCGTTACAGTTGATGGTGAGAGAAAACTCACTTTCATGGATGATTCTCTCTCATTTGGCAGCTTCCCTCGCGGAAGTGGTGTCTAGGTAGTTCATGGAATATGATCGGAGTTGCGAGGCGAGCCACGACGCATCGAATGAGAGCTTTCTCCTCTCCGCAGAAGACTCAATCGCCGAGCAACACCGTGGGGCAACCGAGTCAGTTCCTCAATAAACTACTGAAAGCGACGCGGAGAAACGGACAAATCGTTTGCGCCACCGCGTTTGTCATACTCTATATTTGTAACATCACGATGGTGGTGAGTGAGAGCTCGATGTGGCTCACCTTCGCTCAAAGGATGGGTATACGACAGAAGATCGACAGAAGAATGGGCATTAGGGTCAATATGTTATCGACTGCGCTGTACGATTCCAGGCGAGCCCCCAGATCAATCAAGAATTCGTATACTGCCCCTTGGAAGTGATAATGGCCGACAACAGCTCGCTTCTGTCGGAAACCACGGGGAGCGTGTCCTTAGAAGAATTCCAAGAGCAGGATTCCGAGCTCTGCGTTCCAATCTTCAGCATCAACATCCCGGAGGTAGGTTTCACTGCTGAACTCCCACGACGCGACGGGGAAACGGTCAGTCGTCGGGGTCGTCGCTGTGAGCTAGAACCTCCTCGGTTCATGTCGACGAGCCGGATCGTAACCCGATGCGAAACGAGAACCCAGGTCGCCTGTTCTGCTCGGATTCATTTTCTGTGCGGCAATCAAATTAAGAGATCACGTTTCGCGGAGAGCGGGCGCCGGACATAAGCGTGGGCGGACCGCAAAACCGACCAAGAAATTCGTTCTGTCCGCATCGCGATTCGGCTCGTTACTCGGCAGATGTACGCGGATCGCAGGACACTCGACTCGCGAAATGATAAACTCTCTGGAGAAACTCGAGATTCGTACAAAGAAAAAAAAAAGAGCCCGGCTGCAAGCGTCCGCTGTTAATCCGAGCGAGTTTCTTTTCTTCCCGCCGACATTCAGCGTCCCGGCGTCGTGGTGCTGTCGTCGTCCGAGCCGAGGCAAATCCTCGTCTGTAGTTTCGTGCACGCGGAAAAATCTCATTCTAAGTCGGACGGTCACGGCTCGGCTTACAGGGTTATGGTTGTCCTTGTCGCGTGTCTGACCTCATATTTCCTCTCGGCGGCCCGTCTCTCGCTATTGGGGCTGCCCGGCCTTGCCGCCTTTTGTCGCCCTGCATCCAGCCTGCGGTGGTCGTTGTCGGCGTCGACATCTTCGTGTACGATTCGCAGTTACGCCTCCGTAATTGCCGACTGAAATGACGAGCGAGTCGGGCCGTTGCCGTCGTGCGTTGCTTTCAACTGTCGTATCGTTATTCCCTCAGCGAGAGTTGTAAGCCAATAGCGGTTGTCGTCACCGACGCTCAGAGACACCTTCGGGAGAGAATGCGGCTATCCGTGGGCACCACGTAAAAAGAACTCATGCTACAGGGACAGTTGTTCCGTCAGGGGGAAAAACTGCTTGCCATCAGACAAGCAAGTTTCCGCAGCAACGGGATGCATGTTCGATTTTCCGCTCCCCGCCGCCGCCGCCAAAACCACCTCCGGTTCCGCCAACGACATCCGAAGAGCGACACTCCGAACTCAAGTGCGAATGGAGAACGGGGATGCCCGGGGGTCGGGACAGGGAGGTACGGGCGGCTCGGGTTGCGAGCACCGCCGCGGCAGCACCAGCTGTTCGACTATTCTCGAGCCTCCTCTAGATGCAAATCGGAACTTTTTCCTGAGCTACTGAGTCTTAAGATGAACAGCAGAAACAGGCTGAGAGCCGTGTCTCTTTATTCTCCGATTTGTTTTTCCCTCCTCCCACATCGCCCGAGACGGCTGCGGTCGTTCCCTGCCCCAGACCCTTCTGGGAGCACTTAAGTCGTAATTGTCCAACCCAGAGTGATGACGGGACGTCCCCAATGAGTTGGATTCGATTCAGGGAGCTTTTCCAGATTTTCCCTCAGACACGCTCTGGCATGCGATGCATACACCTTCTCCAGACTGAACGGGTAGGGAATTCTGTGGAAACAAGCATCAGGCTGTCTTTGTCCTGCTCTTCGGCGTCGCGGAGCTTAAGTTAAGCCCTACCTGGCCGACACATCTCGTAGACTTAATGGTCCGAAAAGTTCAAACTCGGCGCTCTCCTTTTGACCCTCACGAACACCTGCCGAAATCTTGCCAAGGACTCGTTCTTGCGAATTCGACCTCTCTCCAAAAGCGGAACTCCTAGCGTGACGCACATAGGTGACTGTTGCCATCTCTGTCAGCGACGACTTCGACCAACGTGACCCGGAACACCCCAAATAACACCCCCGAAGCGCGAATAACACCCCGAATACTCGGAGTTTCGCGCTCTCGCCAATGACGCCGATGAGACTCTGTCCGCGCTGCTTTGACCCTCTGTAGTTTGGCAGATGGTCATTTTTCCTAATTACTCCTTAAAACGGCCCCCTATCGGAAATAACCGATCGGATTCCTGGATTCCGCCGGCACGAGATGGGAATTTCGAGAATATATTCGATTTTTTTTTATTTCCCTTCCAGAGACAGCTCCTCTGTGTACTCCTGCTGATGTTGGCCTGTGCGTCCACATTGGTGTTTTCGACGGTGCAAAAAAGTATTTTTTTCATTTCGATTGTGGCCATGTTCGTCGGCCTGTCGTTCTCGTTATGGGAGCCCCAGGTAAGGAAAAAATTTCCCTGGAGCGTAGAGACGTCAGAGACGGGCGTGGGAGGACTCCAGGGAGCGTGACAAGTTGAATCATTCGCTCCCCGGACAATCCGAAACACTGTTCCTTGTTCACAGTATTGGCTCCTCAGTTCGAACGACTACGCGCCTATCTTAGCCAAATTTTGTGTCGTCCTCATCCTTCTCGTCTACGGTATTGTGCTCGTTGTGCACGGATTCCAGAACGAGGCCTCTTCTCGGTAGGTGGATTGATTACCCTCTCTTCTCTGCTCTGCTCGAGCGCCGTTCCCTCCCCGAAAGTCTCTCGGTAGCTCACCGTCACATTCTTCCTCTCACATTTTACGCTTTGCTCTAGCACTGAATCCAAATCGTCAACCGACGACTCGTGCCGCCCATGAGAATGTGAAAAGTTTGAATATGTATCCGCTGCGGGGACCGGCTACGCAGTTTCAACCATTGACGCCAAGGCTCGCTCAGAAGTTTTTGTACTACCGTTCCAGCCTAGATTTCCTATGGAAACTCCAAGCGATCCAGGAAAAAAACGAAATGGCCGATCTCCAAGCCTACAACCGAAAGTTGCTGTCCAACATCCTGCCCGTTCACATAGCGGAATACTTTCTGTCCAGCGAACACTCGAATGAGGCGAGTACCCGCATGTAGGTACACTTCCAGTTGGCATCGCGAGTCGGCCATAAAAAAACCTCCGAGTCAGTCGGCGAGTCGAATAGGTAGCCCGACTTGCCTGATGGGAGACTGGCGAAGAACGAAAGTCATCATGGCACAATCCTCGCCGATAAAGTGGCGGATCCTGAGTAATAAGACGTCGGCAAACTCTCTGACGAGACGCGTCCCGTAATTGAGACGTGTCATTGAAAGCAAACATGTCAAAAGCCCGGCATCGCTGAGAACGCGTACACTTTCCAAACAGGGTACTAATTATGAAGCTGGCGTACGTTGCACGCGAGAATGATTAAGGTTCTCGTAGGAAGATTCCGAGGAGAAGGCACGAGAGCGAAGAATTCGTGCCCTTTTTTACTCGCCACACTGCGCCTTCGGAAACAACCTTCTTCCCGCCACTGCTGGAAGTAGGCGTAGGCGTCGACTCCTCGCTCAATGGCTCCGCAGACTGCGGTGACCTTGAACGTATCAGCGACAGACGCGGGCGTGATCGAGACCTCCTTGGAGATGCCAGTCCTTCGAGTTCGCGAAATTGTAGCCATTCATTCTCGAATTTTGGTTTGGCAGTCTTTGCCTCTGAGAGGCCTCGAGCTTATTCATAGGCGTGTTGTTGCCTGTCCCTGTATCATGACAAAGCGCTCCCACTTGCTGTCCACCTTGACTGATCAGCTCTTCATTTCGTAAGTCGCTCGGGAACAGGTTGTGCCAAGCAGAGGCGACTCCGATGATGTTTATGTAAATGCATGTTACGTGTTCCTCACGCTGGCGAACTCGCACTGTCCGCCAAGCGACGTACAGATGGTCGAGGACAGCGGAGCGACGTCTGCTCACACATTCGTAGCGAGTATTCAATAGACCTAGGGTCGTCGGGCAGGCTCGAGCGGCTGTGGTCCCGCCCGGAAAACGTCGCCCGGTCGAAGAGGTTTCTCCCTTTTCTCCTAAGCAGTACATCGGTCAGGTCTTCGTCAGTTTCTCATCAGCCCATGTTGCCGAAGACACAAGATCAACGGGTGAAAGAATGGAAAAGCTCGGATTCCGGGAACGAAGAAGTAGGACAAAGAAACAATGTCGAGAACGGGTCATTTTCTGCTCTCGATGCTGATTTCCGTCTTTTTCTTCACATTTGACGGCGCAATACATCCGTCCAGGCTGTCTGACGGAGCGAAATCTAATTGAGCTACTTGTACACAATTTGAGAGGGTTTTTTGGGGGTTGTAGAACAGAAAAAAGGAGGGGACGTGAAGAACAGTCGGGCCTACTGCATTCGTTTCATTTATCCTTGCTTTTTTCGATCGGGTCGTCTTGTTTTCATCCCAGAGCCTCTCTGGACAACAGGAATGACCTTCCCAACAATGGGGTCAGCGTTCTCCTATTTGAGGAAGTCTCCCTGTGAGCGAGGCTTTTGTATCGACCTCATAAATGGGCCACAGAGTTCTATATATAAGATATACATCCGAAATCGTATCGGGTCTTCAGAACATTCATTTTAGGCAGAGATGAAACGGATTGAGTGTCGGGACCATCGAATGACTCATGAACTCGTTTCTATCTCTACAGGATCTCTATCATGAACAACTGGATAACGTCGCGATTATGTTCGCCTCCATTCCAAACTTCAGCGAGTTTTACGTGGAGCTCGAAGGTAACAACGAAGGAGTCGAGTGTCTCAGGCTGCTCAATGAAATCATCGCCGACTTCGACGAGGTAGGTTCAGAACTTTGAGAGATCTTGCGCTTCCATCGAATAGTCGCAGCAGTCGGTGGGTCTCTACCTGGCGGAATGCCTCGCACTCGAGCCGCTCGAACAAGGCTCGCGCTCAAGCAGCCACTCGATAGAATCCTAAGCCCCGATTCAATCATTCGATTCCGTCTCGCTCCGAACACCCCGCTGAGAGAACAAGTCCTCGCGACCACAATCAGGAGAGACAAACGCCCGGACGGATTCCAGAATGTCGAATATGCTAACTAAGTATCTTCTCTGAGTTGAGCGGGCTAACCGGGGTTTGGCCGTCCGCTGCGATGACCGATCCGGCGGACAAACGGTCGAGCTGCCGACCGTCTGTCCCATGAAGTGGAAATTCGTGGCGTTCCCCGTTGAATATTTATTTAAGCTCGGATAAGGCCGGTTCAAAGTGTTGTCTCTCTCGCCGCGGCGATATCGGTTCGTTCCGTGTGGAATCGATCAAATAGATTAATTTTAATTCATTACGTCTGATTTCCCCAATTCATTACGAACATCGTTCGACGGAAATCGGCATGCCCAAGCAGGGATCCCGAGCATCTGGAGTCGAAACATCCATCGGTCTCTCGAGATGAGCAGCAATGGTCCTGGGGAACCTCGCTTGAACAGTCCACGATTCGGGGAATTTGATTTGTGGTAGCGGACCCCATTTTTGATGACTCTCTCCATTCTCTCGCTCCAGCTGTTATCCGAAGAAAGATTCTCAGGCATTGAGAAAATTAAAACGACTGGTTATACGTACATGGCAGCTGCTGGTCTGTTGCCGTCAAAAAAAGCTCTGAAGGATCGAGCTCCAGAAGAGTTCGTCGTCGCCCTTGCCGAATACGCGCTCGCCCTGCGGAAACAACTCCAGTATGTCAACGAACATTCGTTCAACAACTTCAAAATTCGGTGAGTGAATCAATACGATCCGAAGCGACCGACGGAGTCGTGGAGCCGTCCCCCAACGGTCCTCTAAGGGCGTTCCCGGCGGAAAGCGTGGAAATTCCAGGAGGAACAATAGATCTGTTCCAGACAAGCAAGCTCGACCTGAGTTTCCATTATCTTGCGCGAATTTCGCTGATAGCCGTAGGATCCGGGGTGCGGAATTCCAGGATGTCGACAGCGCCTGTGGAAACTCATGACCCGGACTCCGGAAACGCTCACAATTCCCGCGATTTTCCTCTTCCCAGAGCCTCGGAACCTCCTTTATGCAAACAAACGAATATATCCGCTCAGTGAAGGTTCTGGGGCGTTCGACAGCTCCGCCGGAAACTCCTATGACATTTCCCGCTCGTTCCAGAATCGGCATTAACGTGGGACCTGTTGTGGCCGGCGTCATCGGAGCGAAAAAACCTCATTACGACATCTGGGGTAACGCCGTGAACGTGGCATCTCGCATGGATTCCACCGGCGAGCCGGACAAGATTCAGGTACGGATTTATGCATAATACGCTGCAGCGGGCTCTCTCCAACTGCTTTTCCCCGTTCCGCTCGCAAATCGAATTGCTCGAACGCTTTTCCCGCCGCGGCGCAAGTCGCATTCGACGTGGAATCGGGGAACGCTGGGTTTTCACACCGAAGCCTCTCACTTTATCGAGAACTCGTCTTAGTGGGCGGGCGAGCGGAATTCCCGCCGTACACTCGACTTCGCGTCGTATATTTTCTCGCCCTGAGACCACCGTGTCCGGGCTGCGTTCACCGTTCCAATGAGGACTACTCGTCGTACTCCACGGGGAAAGCGAGCGAAACATCGTGCTGCCACAACCAAACATCGCGAGTGTCGTATTGCAGGTAACTCAGGATGTCTTCCGGCAGCTGGAACCTCTGGGCTATCCGCTCGAATGCAGAGGACCGATCAAAGTGAAGGGCAAAGGCGAAATGGTGACCTATTTCCTGCTCGGAGGGAAGAACGACAGCGCGAGAAGGAAAAGACAGTACAATCACTCGAAGAAATCCACCAATTCTTACGAACTCCCGAAAAGTCAGCCGTGAACCTTGAGCCAGTGAGCGAGCTTTCAGCGTTAGAGAAACGACCACAGCTCGATGTCGTCGAATTGCATTCGCTCCCGTTACCTATCAGGAGGGAGGGACGCGACGGTTACGACGACAGCAACAGCTGCGAATTTGTCGTCCCGAACCCAGCGACCGCAGCCTCGGGCCGAACGAGCACTTGGTCGGCGTCATCATCCACGAAGATCCACGAGTCCAATCGAGATGGAGCAGCACCGTGATGAGCGCGTGCGAAGCACTTTCTGTGTGCAGTCTCATTAGCATGTAATCTATACATCTACATAACATAGATAGGAGTTTTTTCTACGGGCAGACACATTGGAGGCACTTTCCGTTCGTTGTGAACATGCACTGCGACGTTTGTCTCACAATGCGAGAGATGTCTAGACGCCTCGCGGAGGAATCGGTGTATTATCGAAACCGCCCTCCGTTGCATTCCCGCGTTCCCTTCAGACAGCTCTGAGATCGGTAATGTCTTCGAACTCCGGTCGGCAGCTCGAGTTTCCCACACTGGAGGGGGAACCCCTCCCGATAAATATTCGGAATTTTCGAAAAACGAAACTTCCCCCATCGGGGGCTAGTTCCTAGCTAGAGGGCAGGGACGTCGTTCACGTGGTTCTATTGGGTCTATCGCCGGTCACCTCGCGGTGATGAGTTTCCGGACTTTCTCCAGCCAAAAAGAAATTTCCTCCGGTAACAACGTCTATTAGCTATAGGACCCGACTCTCGGAGGATACGATGTTCTGCGCAACGCAGATCGCATCTGAGTGAGTATGTTATATTATCCCCTCTGGCCAAGTCAAGGAGCAGCTATTCCCAAACAGATCGATAGAGCCAGTGGGGAGTTGACGAGGATGAAGGGATTGTAGAGACAATTCATAAGATGTATGTTGATGGAATTCATGAGATCAGTATGAGAGTTTATGGAAACGAAATGGTTGTATTGTTGATCGAATGGAAGGAGTAAGTTCGAGTAACCTCGAAAACTTACGAGGTCTAGTAGGGAGTTGAGCGAACTTCCCCCGGGGCACACGGCCAAAACATCCACGTTGAGAGACAACAACCAAAATGTGATGCCAATTACATGTGAACTAGCTTTACCTGACGAAGAGATGACGAAGCGGCCACGGATGCTAATCACCTCCGACATTCGAGCATCTCGTGTTCATGCGCGACTCTCGCCCCAGCCGATGAATTATTTAGAAGATATGTCGTTCTCGAAACGAGCGTAGCCCATGTTCCGAAATATGGAGCCTCAATGTGTTAATGCGACTGGTCGACCTTTCGGAGGAATTCGACATCATCGATTCGACTTCTGGAAGTATTATTATCAGCACCCTCGACCGCTATGGTGCATGTCGACTCGATATTTCGTTGAGTCGACGTTCTATTAATTCTCCTGCGGATTAGTTATCCACCCCAACTTCTCCTCAAAAATCGCATTACTGCAATCGGCATCTCGAGGGATATATTTACGCATGATATTCACGTATTTCCTACATCTTTTAAACGACCTTCGTGGGTGTAGCCTCACGAAGCCTTTTCGTTTTTTGGATGGATTCTCGGGCGCGAGAACGATGATGAAAACTGCCCCTACCTATGTTCCGAGAACTTGCGACAGCTTAAAATGTTTTGATCGACGGTTGGAATGGTTTAAAACTGGGATCATGACGCTTGAGATAAAGGAATTATTAGACACTCTCACTTGGGGTCCGTTGCTTCGGTCCACCTTTGGGGCGGTCGAACTCCGGCTATATAGATGCCGTGCGTCGCATTCGTCAGAGAATCGCGGAATGTGAATGTAATTATTGTGTAAAACGAGCTTCCCACGGCAGATGTGTGATCGTAAGAAATACCGTCGTCGACCAAGAGCCCGGAATCTGAATGTGTGAATTTTTTCGAATGGGAAACCGGCCGGGCCACGTGCAAGTCGACTTTGGAAGGCACTTGCGAACCCTCATAACCTCTATCAGAAGATGCTGCGATTGTTAGCTAGTCAACAACAAGGACCGACAACAAGGTTTGCCGATGTCTGCGAGCCGTCATGGCGTGATGAATAAATGTTTCGAGAAGAGAGCACCTAGAGACTCGTTGTCAGAACATTCCACATTCTCACCAAATTTGAGACTCTCGGCGTCCAAGAGTTCCTGCCTGAAATATCGGATCATTCTGTTTCGCTCTCGACCGCGGCTCCTCAAACCAGGATTCCTCCCAGTTAGACCTTTTGTTTTGTGGGTTCGACCTTCAGCCGAAAAGTGGGTCGTCTAAATAGTTTCTGAAGAACCTCTGGGCCTAATAGGCCTCGATGGAAGCCATTACGGAAAGCCTAGGCTCTCCTTCGGTGTCGTCCTTTGCTTTCCGTCCTCGTCGTTCGACTTTGCGACCGAGTAAACGTAATAGCAGAGAGGTCCTGTCTTTTGTTGATATTTGCTTTGAGTCTCAAAGGATCTATTACGGTGGTCGACAACGGTGGTCGAACGTTGATCTCGGTGACTTCTACGCAGTGGCCGCTGGCACTTCATACACAGAGACCGAGGGGCCCATCGAACCTAGCTTCTGCTCAGTTCCGACTAAGAATATTACTGCTCCTACAGGAACAAAACCTCGTTTCCCATTGTACCTACCTTGTTGTTGGACGTCTCTTCTGTATCATCCGATGCCCCGACTTTCAAGCAAAATAATTGAGCGCACAAGACGCGCTAGACACCAGGAAGAATACGAGACGCATCAGTCGCGGTTCAAGTCCGCTCCAAATGAAAGCTCCGCGAAGTTCCACAGAAATATCCCGAACAAGAGCGAGATAGAGGGGCTGTCGAAGGCCGACTCGGGAGACACTTCGTTCGAGATGAGGTCAGCAGCAAAAGTCTGCACTGATAAGCGACTGCGCCGCCGTCAGTCGAGTGGATCGGGCTCTGGAAGAAGGCACGTTTTCCGCGGATATCTGCTCGGATCCGGTTTGTAAACTGGCTATCCACTCGCCGCACACTTACACGAAACCGTCCGCTCGGGCTGATGAGTGCACTTGGCGATTCCTCGGCAGCAACAACGCCTTTGGCTCCGTGCATTCCGCATCCAGATACAAGACCGGACCGCAAACCTAATTACTGCCGAGTGTTCCCCGATTTTCTTTGGCGGAAAGTGAATGCATGTTAGGCCGACCATCGCTCGAGTGCACCGGTCTCATCTCCGCCAGTCTCTCTGACTCTGATCGATATTAAGAGAGTATTAGAGAGCATTTGCTCGCTCGCATAGGGTATAGGATCTCTGCCCACATTCCGTCTTGATGGCTGAAGCAAAGATACGAGAAGCTCCACCTCGGAGGGGGCTCTCACAGATGCGGCGAATGTGATCATGGACTGACAAGACTCAATTTTGCAACGAAATGGAAGTAATGAAGTCTCCGCTCAGATCAGCCTCAGAGAACCGCTCCCGACGCAAGCAGATCTCGGAGCGAGTGATTCTAAGAGGCTTTCCGTCACTCCGACTCTCCCGGAAATCACAGACTGCGCCAGACAGCTGTTTCCGACGCTGCATTCGGATTTTCCCTCCTCTCGATCCTTTAAAGAAAAAAATCGCATCAAGTAGAATTCTTTCCGTTCGACGAAATGACCTCTTCTTCCCCGACTGACACATCGAGGACAATCTGCGGGCCCTACTGAATCAGAGCTTTTCTCACAGAGGAGACGAAATCCATCCCGTACACGCCGACATCCAGAGGGTGGGCCGATGCCCATTTCTCCGAGTTTTTCGACGGCTCCATATGTCAGAAATGTACGGGAGCTTTCCCCCTCGTCCCGTACCGACCCATAAATTGCAGGAATTGATCACGATCATATGGCCCTCGGGGAATTCTAGGGATCATTTTTCTTTCTGGGCGAAACTGATCCTGGGATGCTAAGCTGTTCTTCCGAGGCGGCTGGAATTGTAGAAGATGAATTCTGCCGCATGCTCAAACAGTTTGCGAGTCTTTGATACGACCGAGGAACGGGACTCCTCTGAATAGTGGAGAAATCAAGGGAAGAGCTCTATCAGGCGCGTTCCCTGGCTTTGGAGAGAGATCTGAAGATCATCTCAGCTTCTTGAAGAAGTTTTTCCAAACTCACAGGAAGGGGACTGCAGGAATTGATGTTCCCCGGTCGACTCTGAGCATAGATAAAGCTCTTTCTCATCGCTCCTTGAGAAGCCCGGAATCATGATAGCTCGCCCGCACGCTCGTCTCGCCATTCCACGTTACGAGGATCAACGACAAGTCTCGTAGCCAGGGGGAGAAGTAAGGGGTAGCTCATCGACCGCCGATTGCTCGGGCTGCGAACTGTGGGCGAGATTCCTCTGCTCTATCACTCTCTTTTAGCGGAAAGTTGGTTTCCGCTCAAGATGGAGATTCCATCGGGGATTAGATTCCTGAGCAGGAAGGTATGAATTTTTGGAGCATACATACAAACATGGGCATGACAGTGTACAAATATCTTCCGAATCGCGCACTGTCTCGGGCAATAGCCTTCCCAGGGGGTCCAGGGGTCGGCATCGAATCGCATTTTTCCGACATTCAGGACGTCTTAGCCTACAGACGGCTGGGGAGGGGGTGGTGGTGGGCTCTGCCTCAGGCGTTTCTCCCGAGGAGCAGCACTCCCGAGGTTCAAACTCCCTCAGATCGCTGATGGAGTCGACATGAGAAGGTGTCGATCAAGTGAAAACGGTGGAACAATAATCATGAGAGAGAAATGCGCAGAGATGTTGATACTTCTAGTGGGCGCATATCATGATCCGACTCCCCGGTCAGAACAAGGGGCGGCGAAACTCGAATGCTGCCTCTGGCTGCGATCGGACGACGCGACGGTTACATCACAGCTCCTGAAAATGGCCGGGGTAGAGGGCGACGAAGGATCAAACGCTGCTCCGAAGGGCGCGAAGGCTCCCCAGGCTTGTGCTTTCTGCCTTCCGAGGTGATATTTTTCCCTCAACTCTCCGCCTCCGCATCACATTCCCCGTACCTGGAATCCCCTCGAAAGTTTTTGGGCGAATCCCGTGGGATGAATTCCAGACAAAAGGTACTCACAATCAGATAATGAAACATGAAGACTGATTTGAGACGGATTTCTATCGAGGGTACGAGATCACATTGACTGAATTCTGATTCGTGGTAGACGTTCGGGCTTCCCGTGCGCTCATTGCACGCTGAATGAGTCGGCTACGAGCTAGAGATCGAGCCGAAACGGCTATCGCAGCTCCCCGGCGGACAGCATACATGCCATGAGTACAGGGATGGCTTGTCTGGCCCGCTCGTACGTCGAAATAACGAGCTGACTCGTAGAATACCGTACGGAGCAGCACCCTATCGAAGAGTGTTCCGAATCCGAAAAAAGCCCGCCCGCCCTCGACCGAGAGCTAAGCGCAACCTAATGAAGACTGTGACGGACACAGCTGCCGTCGTATCATTTCTATCCAAAATTAGAGACGGAGCTCAGGGTAGAAGTTGCGTAAGTGTCTCTCAGAGGCGCCCCTGCTCGGATGGGAGGGATGCGTCCCGGTCGATGAGAATGCACTCGCCAGAAAACTCAAGCATTCAAACATCGTACCTCCAAATACCATTCGGCCCTGTGATCTGATGAGTAGAGTTCCCATTTACCCGGACATGTCCTTGTCCGTCTTCTTGTCCGGTTTTCCGCATTTTTGTCCGGTTTTTGGTAATCGCCGATTCCGGAGGGGCTAATCTTGGAATCCCGGTCTCAATTGATCCGTGCTGGACGCTCCCTGATTCCCCTAGGTCAAGGCTTTTCCTGAGCGTTTGCTCCTTCTCACGAAGTCACGGAGTCGAAGTCTCACTGAGATTTGCGGATTCGCTCGGGGGCGAGCGCAGGCCCCATTGGAACGATTCCCACTTCTAGGGCCAGTTTACTGGTCTTGCAATCGATATCCGTTTAAGCGGCTCTATGTATCGATTATGCTCTATAATCTCTTTCTCAACTTTTCTCCAACCCTGCACGTATACTCGAAGAACAGATGTCAGCTCTGGACGCGTGTCGCTTCCGACACGCACGAATCTTCTTCCGTGTTGTAAGTATCAGGTGTCGTCGTCCGCCAGCTCGTCAACGAGGTTGAATGGTTCAACCTCGCTCTGGCTTCGAGAATACCGGAGAGGTCGAAGCGCTCAATGCTGTCCGTGACTCCGGCAAGAAAATTCGCCCACCAATGCGACGGAATTTTCGGAAGAGATCCGAATTTCGAGTATCTATCCAGATTGTCAGGAAAAGATGCAGATGTTTTCAAATATGCTGTTGTTTCGAATGCCGATGTTGAGCGATCTTTCCCCATGTACAAGAATCTTCTCTCGGATCGTCGCCATAGATTAACGCCCATAAATCTGAGAAGGCATCTTTCCATCCAATTCAACTGCGATATCCTCTTCGATGAATAAAGTGACGAGTTGGGTTTCTTCCATTATCTAACGCTCCTGATTCCCTTCTGGTCATCAAACTTCAAGCGTCCGGTTTTTTGTCCGGTTCAGGCCTCGATGTCCGTCCGGAAAGTGTCCGGTTTTTCCCGGATAAATGTCCGGGTAAATGGGAACTCTACTGATGAGCGATTCAAATTCGAACGATTTCGTGACCATCGAAACCCGCAAAGTCTGTTTGACGATTAATGACTTGATAACAGCGTCCGCCGATGGGGCGGACAAGCTCAGGCTGATGGTGAGAAAACTTCAAAGAGGCTTCGCACGCGAGCCAGCGGAAGCTCTGCGAGCGTCAAGTTCCCGAACTTAATGCAGAAGTCCAACCCCCTTCCGAGAGGGAATGATAATTGTGCTCCTGAAGACATGGTGGACAAAGTTTTCAATGTATCTCGAGATGTGATCGATTACGGAGACGGAGAACGTAGCTGCGGAACCAGTGCGCCGACCTGCCCTCCTAATTTCCCGTTGTCTCTGCCGGATTTGTTACGTGCCCTACCGCAGATTCGGAATCAATGACTTTCCGGCCGCTCCGACGTCATCGCGGGCTTTGATTGAGACGAGCAGATTCCGTATCCTTTCGACGACAATAGCCCCGCGACAGGTGTGGAAGAAATTCTCGTCGCTCCGAACCGCGGAAGTTCAGCATGGAGGCGAGAGACTCGGTTGAAGATGGAGCGTTTGCAGCTCATAGCGGTCGTTGCGTCTCCTCCACGCTACACCTTTTCCGACTTGCGCCCGGAGCGATAGTCCAGTGCAGACACCGCTGTGTATCCAAGCGCGCGTCGAGCTCACTCGAGATGTGAGGAGACAGCGTCTCATAGGATTCCAGAGGTTCAACAAATGCACGGCGCGGCAATATTTCCGGAGAGGAAAGAGCTCGAGTTCCTCTCGTGCGACTTCGGAAGGCTTCGCCTCCGCGCTAGACCACTACCCATGCTGTCTGAGGCTGCTCCTGGAGAAGAATTCCCAATATCGCGAATTGAGATGCAAACGTCTAGTTTAGTGGAGGAGCAGCGGACCCGTCAATCAATCGAAGGGCTTATCCGCAGGTCTGACTCCCGCGAACGATTCTTCTTTGAAGTCATCGGATTCTGCTAGCCTACTCGGTCGCTTTTTTGAATTTCCCATTCGCGAATTCTTCTCGGGGACCGTCGACTCTGAACTCGCCGGCGAAAAATCTGCTCGGTTTCCGGATCGACCCCCGCCGTTCCATTCCACACTTGTGGTGAATTCAGGACTGGGGCCCCGTGATTCCGCCATGACGAGGAGACACTTCGAATTGTTGAATGGTCGTCCCCATGGAAGAATGTCAAGCGATGGCTGAGCCGCAGTATTCGAGCTTGCGGCGGAGACGCTGAGTGAAACACCGACTCGAATGCAGAAGGAGACATATGGAAAATAGGTTTCTTCCCTGCACCCCGGAAACCGTCTGTATCGATCGCCGGAGCTCGAGAAGGCGCCGAGAGGTACTTTGGGGGCTTCCGTCATCGGCCGTGAGTTTCGGGTTGAGCTGAGATCTGCTTCGAGTTTCTCGGAATCGTTTTGCAGAACGCCGCGAATAGTCCCAATCGATCAGCTGAGCGGCATTAGAAAAAATATTTCAAGGAACGCTTCGAGATTTCCATCCCCTCGCTAGCGATGATGGATCCATCTCCATTCTCCGTAGAAGCCAGCTCGAGCTGAGTGAGAAACTAATGAAACCTCAGCGAATTATTCTTCCGGACTTCGAAGATCGAATCCATCAGTGACTGCCAGCTCATCATCCTCTAGAACAGGGAAAAAGAGGCTATTCGATGTCGCATCGACCGTCGACGTCGTTTATTGTTATATCGATGCTTGAAAAGGGAGTTAGAGACTAGGGGTTGACCGAGAATCTGGATTGATCATAAGCTCTTCACAGGAGATTTTTGCGGAAAACAGGCGTGACTTTGCTAATAAATTAAAGGCTCAGCTCGAAGCAGCAGTCTACCACTGCGATGAAGCACCGTACGCCGATTTCCGGCTACCTCCATAGGTATTAGCCTTGACGCCGCTGCCGTATTGTAGAGCGGCTTGTTCTCCGGTGAGAGCCGAAGACTCGAAGACAGCATCAGCCGGGTTTTTAGACTCAGTACCCGGTTCGTTTGTTACAATTTTGGCGTGGAAACCGCTCTCGTCAGCGTGATACTCAACTCTACGCATGGTGCCATCGGCCATCTGAATCATGTAGTGGCCTCTAACCGTTCTTCCGTCAGAGCTCTGGCTGTGTCCGTGTGAACCTTCTTGATCTTGAGAGCTGTAGCTGAACTCGTATGGGGTGGGTGGCCCGTAGTTTTCCGGGCTCCTTTGACCACCATGCGATCCGGCACCACCATACGATTGGGCTTGGGCGCCACCATACGATTGGGAACCACCAAAAGATTGGGACTGGGCTTGGGCGCCGCCATACGATTGGGAACCGCCGTAGGATTGGGTTTGGGCTCCGCCATATGACTGGGCTTGGGCTCCGCCATACGATTGGGCACCACCATACGACTGAGCGCCCCTGAAGGAGCTTCCCTGGTTTCCGCTTCGGCTCCCGTGTGCGTTTGAGTAGCCGGCCGAGGCGACCCCGACCGAAGCCACGAGGGCAACAAGGATGAAGCCACGCTGGAATTAATAATGAGCATGGAAAAGGTTTTCAATCATTCGGGTTGAGAACTCTGAGGCTCTATATTCGACACCCAGACACGGCACTCCATCGGATCCAGAAGTAATAGAGCACAACTAACACCGTACCATATCTGTGAAGTCTTTGCCTTGGTCGAACGCTTGCACAATGAAAGTCGCCGGTCGAAGCTCCTTTTTATTGGGTTTTGAAGGGGGCGAGTGGCTCGCCACAGCCGACCGGCGCGGCGCGCAAGGTTCCAGATAATTTCTGGGGGCATCTTTTGATCTAAATTGCGCGAAGAAAATTTGCATCGGCCGGCCGCTGATGAAATTCTTGACTGAGAGCGGCCAGCGGCAATACAATTATGCGAAATATCCGGGTTGTTTGCGAGCCTGAAAAGCGAAAGTTCCTTCCCGATGGCTCTGCGGAGGTGCTAAGGCACACAATCAGTGAGACTCAAATTCTGCGATGACTCTTGACATGTTGATTCATTTTCTAGCTTCTCCTCGGTCTGATGTATGAGACTCCCTTTGACCTGAATCCGACCACCAGGGCTCAGCAATGCTCATGTGAGCGGTCTTGGTGTATTTTGACTGCGGGACGGCGACCATTCCGTTATCCGCAGATCATCGCTTCGGACGGGGCCCATCAGACCGCAAGTTCCACGGAGACAGAAGGAATGATCTCTTGTCCGACGTTTTTCGCAAGAAAATCAGCCCAGATTCTGAAAGGATGAATCTTCTTAATGACGGGCCTCCGAGTGCTACGTATCAGATGCGGGTGAAAAGATTTGAATCCTGATCACTGATCATTCAGGCCTCTTCAGTCTCTGCATTCGATACCACTGCCTCTCAGTCGACAGGGTCAGTGAGCCGCCGCTATCGTGAACTTCAACCGGGTGATGAAATGAGTACGGCAGTTCTTTTCTTGTAATCCGCTCTAGAACCGGTGATCTCAATATCTCTATCTTTAGCGGAAGATTGCAGCGGAAATGTATACGCAGCAGATCAGCCGTCCTCTATAGCGGAGTGACCCGGAGGAAATGAAGTCATGAGTTTCCAGTTTCCATGCATCAATCAATGGCTAGAATTTGAGCTTCCGATGGTGGTGAGCCTCGCTGGCGCACAGGATGGTTCTTCCAAGAGTGACGGATCGGGCTCCGGACCCATTTATAGCCCAATAGGTATGTCACAATGCATCTCGAGGGAAAAATTGTGGAACAATTTGCGAAGATTGGCCATGACATCAGAGGAGCCGATCATACAAGTTGACAGAAGGACCGAGGACAGCTGATTTCTTCTTCTTACCGAGAACGTTCGCACAGCGCGATCGCAAGCGGATCAACGGCGTTCTTGATAGGGAGACAAAGTCTCTCTGTTCATGAGCGGCTAACAGAGGAGTCGTTCCTGCTTGGGCTCTCGCCGCCTGATTTCCCTCGGATCCGCGAATCGCTCTAACGCGGGAAAATCGGCGCTTGAGAGTCATCGGCGCAACGGCGAAATTCCTCGGAGTAGAGCGTACCAACGCATATTAAGAATTCGATCAGAGACCGAGTATAACAAATTGTGAATAGGAATATTTAATGAATAGTAAACAACAGTTATTCGGATTGGTGACCTCTCTGGCTTTACAATTTATATAGAAGGCCTCCCCTTGGATGAAACGGGTCGATTGGTGAATCCCTGATGGCGAAGGGCGGCTGCGCGACGTCCCTCTACTTTTCCCTCTAATGAGGACCAGGCGGCGTTGAATGGCTGGCGATATCGTCATTCCGGAGTCCGATAATGAGAATCACCGTGTGACAGGGCGACTGGGGAGATGCTCCGTCGGGAACTCTGGAATTTCACATTGGCGGGCTCTGCGTGTCGGATTTCTTGGTATTCCATGTCTCGAGTTTCTCCGTTCATCGACTTCCGTCATTAGGGTGGATCCTCACAGGCTTGCTTGTTATGAACCAGATGCTCCCGGCGGCGAGAACGAGAAATCGAGGCAGATCGTGTCTACTTTCCAGCAGTATGTTTCACAGACCTCCCAGCGTCGGGTATCGCTGCGGGAATGAAATGTAATTCGGTGCTTCCGTAGTTCTTGAGAGTCCGCTTCTGTCGCTCGCGGAACAGATCCCCAAGAAAGTGTCAGGACCCCGTCGACGAATCTGAGAACACCTGACGGTGGCGGTCGCTGTCAGCAATCCAGCACATACTTCATCGATCGAACCGGTGATTATTGCTTGATCAACAATCAATAAGGCTGTGAGATGGGAGCAATCACGAGGAAAAGGCGGATTTCGCGCCGCAGTTCTCACTCCGTTCGATGAATTTTTACACTGATGATTGTGATCGAGAAACAGAAATCAAGGTGATGAATGTCCCCCCGACGATCCTAGCTTCAATGATCGTAAATGATAGCGTCTCGCGCGACGCCCCGTTGGATAATAATGAGCAGTGAGCTTCTGATGATTCGCATTCGATAACCGTCTTCCATGCGTTTGCTGATGACAGCGCCAATAGGGACCGCCCCCGCGATCCCACCAGAACTTCGCTGACCAGCGAGTCAGAAGCTCCTCACGCTGAAGCGCGACATTCGTCGGCCCTCACACGCGGAGTCTTGAGACTGTGATGAACTTTCCCCTCCGTGGCCCTCTGAATCAGTTTTCTTGCCACATTCCATTCGTTCCCTTAAATCTTCTTTGAACATGGAAATATTCCATATAAGTTTCGGAAAAAGTCCTTAGTCCGCTCCATCCTTGCGGAGACAGCAGGGCTACAGATCCTCTCTGCGCCTCGGCCCCGAATTGTCTGAGTGAGTTTTCCGACCTCGGAGGCTCAGAATTTAGCCTCTCGATTTCGATGCTGAATCACAAACTCAGCATCCGTGCAGGACCTTTGGCTCCCGAGACGTCGACGGAGTTTTATATCACGCACTTTTCCGGTATAACGGATGGCCTCTGTCTCGATGAAATTCTAATGTATTTCAATCATTGATTCGTAACATTCTCCGAAGTTTCACCAATCATGAGAATCCCTAGGGTTTTCGATCTTATCGTATAGGACCTTACCTGGTGATTTCCGAGATAAGTCCGGTCTGCTTCGGGAGGCATTAGATGGGAGGCTCCGTGAAGCCCCACAAAAAATGAGTTGCGTCTAGCCGACATATTAGGAAACAGCAGACCCTATTTCCGCAGGCTCTCATCCTCGAATGTGGAAATAGCGAACGGGAAGATTCCCCGAAAGGAGGTCCTTGCTCGATACATCTGTGGATTGTAAGACCCGACATGAGAGATGACTCTTCATGAGTGGCTTACGTAAATAAACATCGACCCCCGCATCGAGCGGGAGGATTTAAGTTCCCGGAGATGGAAACGGGGCAGAGCACTCCTATACGATAGGCTCATGTTATTTTGGATCTTCTTCTCCACAGCGGGACACCTTCGATGTTGACTTATACGCCGAAGTTTCCCATTCTCGGCTCTCGAAAAACCAAATGGAAATTTTGGTCTCTCGATAAACCTCATAATAATCTCGCGAGTCCTCGCTTCGGTCCGTGGATCCACTCGTTTCGCTGCTAGATCTCATGAGGAGAGAATATGTAAATGAACACTTTATGTGTACGTGTACGGATCTCGTTGGATTCGCAAACAGAGGAAATGAGAAATTCGAGCTTGACAGCGTTCGCCGTCGTCTCGCTCGAAATTCTACTGATACCGATAAGATTCATGCGTTGGTCGAGCGAAAGTGTATTCAGGCGGGAAATTGCTAAAATTCGTAACGTCGGTGGGTGACTCTGCGGTTAGATGTGTTACACAAATCTGATTCATATTCGACTGCGATCAGGCTGGATCGTCGGGTTCGCACCCACTTTTCCACAGTATCTCGCAAACGCTGAGCTGTTCGGGATGCGAGACGTGGGATATCCGCTGTATGCTGTATGGGAGAACTATCTCTGGTCCGATCAGCGACTCCCATGAGACCTCTCAGGAAGGATACGGAGGCTCGCCCGACTCCATTAACTCGCTCTCGTAGAAAATTCTGAGGAGCAAGCGTTTATTCAGGGACACCTCACGAGAGCCTCGGCTGTCCCGAGCTGTCACCGAGGAACGACCTGGGAATATGCTCGAGAACGTACATAGACTATTCGCGTCCCAAGTGATCGTCGTGCTCGGTCGTGAGGGACTGCTAACTCATTCCGTCAGAGCTGAGTAGGTCGTAGCGGGAGACTGGCAATTTCATTGCTTCCTCCAGGGCTGGTCTGTAACTACAACACTTGAGGCCGTGCTCGCGCGCGAGCACCTGCGGTCAGAGCTTATTCGATTGGTGTGATCAAAGGGAGAACCGAGCGATCACTTGTTAAGGCTATTCAAGCTAAGTAAGCACTGTTTTCCTCTTTTCTGGTAGGGCATCAGACTGATTCCGCTAATGTAGACTCCGGGGGACTTCGAGTACGTCTTCCGGTCCTATACAAGCACTTGAGGGGATTTAGGATTCAGTCGTCTCATGCCGACTTCCCGAAACCCAAGACAGGGAATTCGATCTTCCGTCTCGGGATCGGGAATCTCCTGACCTCTTAATTGCGAGCAGAATCCATTACTTCCATATTTATGGGTTCATCAAGGGAACGAGGCTTCACGGAGGGAGGAGACACGAAATGAATTTATTCTAAAGTGTCTCAAGGACTTCCTGTTGGGATGTCTTTGGGAAATAGCCTGACAATCACATCGATAAATAAATGGTTGATGTACACACAGAATACTTTCGAGAAAGTTCTCTGGAATCTGTACAATGAACTACCAGTTGGAATTAGCGGGGCCATTGCCATACTGCAGAGCTGCTTGCTCACCGGTGATGGCGGATGATTGATAGAAGGCGTCTGCGGCATCTTTGGATTCGGTGCCCAGCTCATTTGTCAGGATATTCGCGTGGAATCCAGTCTCGTCTGCGTAATACTCAACGCGTCGCATATGGCCGTCGGCGAGCTGAATCATGTAATGTCCTCTCACTGTTCGTCCATCTGAAGATTGACTATGTCCGTGGGATCCATCTCGGTCTTCTGATGAATATCCAAAATCATACGGAGCCGGGGGTCCGTAATTCTCGTCGCCGTATCCGCCGTGCCCTCCACGAACGACTCCGGCCCCAGCTAGACCCATCAAGCAGGCCGAGGCCACGAGAACGTGCTGAAATTTATATTGAGAAAATCAAGTCAAGATCGGATGTCGAGCCTATGCTTGAGTTCTTCGCGGATTGTTACGATGATGAAACTCGAGGTCGCGAAATCAGCCGCAGAAAAGCACCCGGAGTGTCCGCCTCAAGACAATCAGTCGAGAGTCGAGTCAGCAAAGAATATTCTGGATTTGGCTCAGATGTGGTCACATCGCCGGAAAAGGAACACGCGGGCTAGATCCTCCCAGCATTTAAGTGGACCAGGGAAAAGTTCATTACAGTTAGGGGATACCCGGTTTATAGAACACTCGCACTATCTCAAAACCGCACTCCAGAAAGCCACTCGGAGATGCTCACCGATATCGCCATATTTGGGAAACAAAGGAAAAACTACGCCTGGGTATGGTGTCCGAACTATTTTATAAGAGACAGCTCAGGGCGAAGGGAACAGGTGAGCGAGAATATAGCTCCTAGCTTTTCTGTGGCAGAAAAACCGAAAACAATGGATTTGAGCCATCTTGCACGAATTATCATGTAAGTTATGTAGTGAGCGCCCTGTCGTCGTCTGTGGACGTGTTCGATTGAGACAAGGGTCAGCGGGGTCGGCCCGGACTCAGACTGGAGCTTCGTCTCGCCCACACTGTGGACAGGATGCGTCAGAGATGAAGAGAATTCTTTTGTTTGATACCAAATCATTCAAGCCTTGATAATAATCTCGCGACGGGTCTGCCCTTTTGTGTGCTTTATGTGCACGCGGCGACGGCGGGCGCCACCGCTGTTGTCGCTGTCGTTCTCGCGGCGACGGCGGCTGCTGCTGCGGTTATGACCGCATTGGACACGGTACAAGGTTCGATGCGCCTTTCGTCGTCTAGTGCGACCAGCTTTGTTTCATTCACAACTCTGCATGTGGGAGGAGAGCAACCTTCCCTCGCACGCATAAACATTGTCGAAGTTGAAACCTTCCTTAAGATTTCTGTCGCATAGATTCTCTGGCATGACCTGGTTTCGACACATTCCTGACAGAAATTCAAATCGGCCTTTTCCGCTCTTCTTCACGTGTTTAGCGGGCTGGAACACTTACGCGACCCGGTACCCGCTTCCTTTCACATATCACATACAGACAGTTCGCTGTTCCAACATCGACATTTCGCTTTTTCCTGCCCCCATGGAATCTTTTTTCTCCCGACGTCCCGCGGAATCGCGCCTCAAAGGTACTGACCTCGAGGATGCTGTGAAATTTATGATTTGGATCGAAATCACAAATTACAAGCTTCCTTGGCGGATATCTTGATTAGACGGGACCACGGCTGATGATCCATCATCGCGCATTACGTCCTACCAGGCTCGGAAGATTAGCCATCGTAATGTATTATGCTGGCGAGATATTGAAGAACAATGAGCAGATAGGTGTTACGCACACCCATCGATCAACTTCAAAGCGGCGCGGCTCGTGAAAATAAAAGAAAGCAGATCGTGATATTAATCCACCGGAGAACTCATTCTGGGGGCGATCGCGTCGGGAAATCTGCGCGCGGCCCAGAGCGACGTCATCAGTGATGAGTCTTCTGAGCCGTCAAGAAAGAACAGGCCGTCGAAACATCCCGCAGAAATGATCGGTGGAATTCACTTCTGATTGATCCCCGTATGGTCATCGAAAGCGCGGTCTAATCACAGTGTTCACACTTGACAGCGCCTGTGGTAAAGTCCCTGACGTGGCTAATTCCACAGCTCCTGGATTAAGCGGTCTAGTGTCTGTCTTCGAATTAGGTATTACCATGTCTTACGGAGGCAAGTCATGGCCTGAGACCGCATTCCTCTTCGGATGGTCGTTCTGCTTATGACCGGAACGCAGTCCTCTGCTAACGAGACGAAAATGAGGATGATCCGATCGCATATGAGTGACCCTTGGATCACAAACCATTGATTCTCCGCAGACTTCTCGGGAATTGGTCCTTCGTTCACGACGTCAGCGAACTTCATCGGAGGACAAGGGCGCCCTTGAGATCGATAGCGACTCCGAGCCAGAAGCAATTCGACAGGCCGGAATTAGGTACTGTGGCCGATACAAGCTTCCGATCCTCCGCGAGGGCGTCGGCATCGCACTCCTCTTGAAAGAGGCTCCGGGGCGACGAATCGTCAGGCAAGTCTAAATGCGACGATGTCAGCGTCCATATTCTTCGAGACCGCCCAGTATCATGGGTCACCTGAGTATCACTCCGCCGCCTTTCAAGAGTTTTTCGGAGTTGGAATACCTCAGTGTCAGAGTAAGGAAGTCAAGGGTAAGAAGCGGAGGTCGGAGTTTGAATCAGGCAAGAGGTCGAGAGCTACGAGGCTCGATAATTTTTCGAGTCCGGCGAAGAAGACGAGAGGGAGTCACGCAATGGAGCTAGTGACCCATAGGAGCGGAAGGACGTCCGGCCGTGACCGTTTGGAAGAGTTGCGCGTTTCTGGCCTAGAAACCCGGAATTTCCTCAGCGGCTAACGGCGAACACGGGATGGAAGTCACGTGGCTGAGAACAGCTCCCTCGGTCCCTTCCGGTGTGGATTAGAGGGATTCATCCAATGCTTTCCTCGTGACTCATCGTCGGCTCCTGTGGGTCCCAGGAAAGATACAGTAGGTACATACATATGTAGGTGACTCTGCCATACACCGGGAATGATTCAAACAGCGAGTTCAATGACAGTCCTTTGCAGGTCACGAGCAGGGTTGGGGACAATCATAATCAAACCTATGACTATGATTATAATCACAGATCGGATTTTTGTGACTATGATTATGATTGTAATCATAACCATAATCATAATCACAGGCGTAATCATACCCGTAATCACAGTTTCTAGCACCACAGGGTACAGGATTATTCAATGATTAAACATAATGATGATTGAGATTGAAATCATAATTCATAATCATAATCACAGGCGTGACCATACCCGCAGTCACAGCTTCCAGCATCGCAAGATTCCGCGCAGACGAAAAAATTTCCCAGGCTTCGCGCTGAGCGAGCGGAAGGTCAACTTCCAGGCGAGTGATCGCGACACGGCGACATCGACGAGGAGAGCCTTCGCCTGAGCCGCAGGAGGAGAAGGAGGGGGATCAGGGCGAACCCATGCAAGAATCGAGATCCAGTATGCCGAAACCCCCCAGATACATACCTATCATCCTCATAACCCGTGTCTTGACGGAAATCCTATGATTACGGGTATGACTACGGCAAAATCACAGGATTGCTGTGATTATGATTATGATTATGACTCTAATCATAGTCATACTTGTGATTTTCAGATATCTGTGATTTTGACTATGATTTTAATCATAGTCATAGGTTTGATTATGATTTTCCCCAACCCTGGTCACGAGCCACGTGCGTGCCGATCCGGGGGAGCCGTCGAGCCTTGATCGAGCGGACGTCATTTCCAGGACATCCCCAAATCGTTTTGGTGAGAGAGAATTCGAGAGGATGAGGATTACTAAAATAGGAGATGAGCGGACAGGACGCGGCGCGTGCTGCGACTCATCGTGTTTCCGGGTTTGAATGATATCATTGACAAAAAGAAAACTCCGCTCCGGAGTTTACATCGCTCGTGAGACGGGCCAATTTAATCCCTCAAATCTTATTTCCGCGAGGAATTCCGCCAATCGTAGCTTTTAAAACAAAGGAAGTTCCATCCTAGTTCAAGCAGTGTTCTCATTCCATCGGTGCGGTCGACCCGGAGTGATGGTGAGCGAATTCTGACCATGAGCTGGCGGAGTGCGAGGCTTCGTCGGACAATCTCGGATACCTCGGTGTTCTGTGGGATGGTTGAGAAAGCTCTCCATGCTTGGGGAGAGAAAGAACCCGACGTATATCGCACACGATGGTGACAGATGCCTTGATTTCAGGTGCCAAATGTTCTGATCTCAGCTGTGATTCTCTCGACGTTCACCATGGTGAGGACGAATCCCCTTGAATACGAGGCAATCTACCGAGCAGGGCGCGAGTGCGAAGGGTGCCACGATAACCTTTGCTGCGATCCTCACCCTCTGTCTGAGTACGTACGACGCGGGCTCACATATCCAGAAACGTTTTCGCGAATTGGCAAGCGAGGGAGCGAGCGGACTTGCTCGCCCTGAGGTTCGAACATCTATCATTGGGTGATTGATAAATCTTAACTCAGAATGCACCTGTGATATGTTCGATTGCTTGCGGACGGGGAGAACTATTCCGGTATCTGTAGAATGCGCCAAACTCATTAGGAAGTCGAAAAGTGTTTTCTCAACATCCAGATGCTACCTTCACAGTGAGGAGCAGTTGGCAATCGCGAGGGAGAATCCGGGCTTCGCTGAGGAGTTCTTCGAAACATTTGGAGAACCGAGTGTGCTTGAAACCTTCACGATTGTCCGGGATGGAACCGAATTCTGCTCGGTGAGCTGTGGCACTGAATCTCATTGGGCGTGGACTCCCTTCGCACAATGCGCGCCTTTAGACACGCGCACGTCCAAGCAGGCGGCCGTGCTATCCTGGGTCCCTTGCTAATTGGAGCTCAATCGCGCTCTTCTTGCCAGGCGTGTAAAACAAGTCCCGCCATACCATGGTTCCCATCCGGAGTTATATCACGAGATGGTACTCGGCACAATCTCTTCACTGTATCCTCGGATCCAGGCAAGCGACAGTTTGCTTACACGCGACGCTGCAGGTGAGATTCAGAGAGCGATCTGTCCGGAGGCTCAGGCGTATCCCGGACTCCTCAGACCTTCTGTCGATTCGGGATATCGGGGCTTCGTCACGAAAGAATTGTGATGATCCCTGTCGATCTGAAGCCTCGATATTTCCAGGTCGGAAGGAGCCCCTTGTGATCGCCTGGCTGATCTCGGTGTTACCAGGAAAAATGTCTGCCGGCAATACCGTCAGAACATCGTAATGTTGGCTATTGACAGGAAGGAACGACGGCTATACACAGTCGTCGTATCGGTTCCGTATGGCTGCAGATGCTATATCGCAAGATAGCAGCCTCCATCAGCTTCCTCTCGTACACGATTCTGTCTCTGTGACAAGATCGATAGTTCCTTACATTAAGGAACCGTCAGCGAGTTAATCAATGATGGATTAATGTGCCGCAACCAGAGCATGCAGCCGCTAATTGGTCACAATGCGATGCCCAGCTGACCTACCGAATTGATTCAAGAACCGGCCCGGTTTCTTCGCCAATAGCGTTTCATTGAAATCGCGGACAAGTTTGTATATGGGAGCTCAGGATGGTCTCATATTGAGGGAAACCTGCTCCAGACGTAGGTTAGGTCTCTGGGATTTGGATGGCCGACACGAAGCTGCCGCGTCGAAACAGAAGAGTTCCTTGTTGACCATGCCAGTTGCTGCGAGCGGAGTGCAGAGAATCAACGGAACATATAGTTCTTTCCAAAGTAGGCATGCCTCCCAATTGAAAGGATGATGTTCCTGACCGTCTGCCTCGCTGGTCCTACGATGTCGATCACCGTGCGGGAATACGGTCGGAGTCTGCGTGGACGTTCCCGGATGAAGAAAAACGGCATGGGATTCCGTCTTCCGGAGAGAAAGTTTTGTCCCGGAAGAAAAAATCGCCCTTCCTGCCGTAACAACCAACCGACTCCAAAGTTTGGAATTCCAAGTCTCGCGAAGGAATGTTGCGAGCTCCTCGGAGGGAAACAATCTATTTTGACGATTCGGCTGAAAGTTTCGCAAAGCTCCTTCGAAAATGTTTGAGACGAGCTGTGCATCCCCATCTTGTTGTTTCCCTGATTCCCTGACTGTGAGCTTCGGGCTGGTGGACTCCTAAAAGACGTTCACAGATCTTCCGACGGAGCTCGTAGGGAGTGCTTTCTCCGTAGTAGCTACTTTTGATCTCGGAGTTCTCATGCCTCCAGGGCTTCAAAATGCGTGACGCATATGTCTTCCGAGTCCTTTTTGGCTTCGCAAGGGTGTCCGTTCAAGCTTGCAAGCCCTCGCTTCGCCTGTCTGCTCTCAATGCCTCTGTCCGCTCATTATCTATTTATCTGAGTGAGCGGATCAGGTGCACATAAGAGGCACGTGCTGCTGCTCTGATTCGAATCCGAAGGAGCGGAGGCCCACGCCCCCTAGGACACAGTGTGCCTCTCGCTATCGAAAGGTTTCCTGGCGGCTGTAAGCGAGCTTGGAATGAATAGACGATGAGACGGAGCCGTGCAAGTAGGTAGTTGAATAAATTATTATTCTCCTTAATTTTCCGAGAATGAATATTTGCGCTCTTTCTCACTTCCAACTATCTATGATGAGTTTCCTCGTATATATGTAGGTACGTTGGATGAGATCCTCACTGCCATTTCTGGTAGTTCCGTGTGGCTCTGTGGGATTTATAACCGGAAGCGTACTGCTGGGAGGCGTGATCCCCACCGATCGCTGTCGATTGGTACATGGCGTCGGCGGAGTCCTTCGATTCCGTACCTTGCTCGTTTGTGACAATCTTCGCGTGGAAGCCAGTTTCATCGGCATGGTACTCCACTCTCCTCTGGCGTCCATCGGCTAGCTGGATGTAATAGTGACCCTGGACACGTTTCCCGTCGGACGTTTGACTGTGACCGTGACTACCTTCGCGGTCCTGTGAGTTGTAACTAAATTGGTAGGGCATAGGCACTCCGTAACTCTGCTGAGCTCGGAAATGATGACCCGCCAGAGCAACACCGATGAGTACGGCGAACACGTAGATTCTCTGTGGAAGTGTATTGACCGAGGTTAGACGCTGCGGTGACCTCAGGAATAGAGTGCGTTATCTGACGTTTTGAGGACCCGAATAGCCCTCGCAACCTTCAGAGCGCTTGCTCTTCTTGCTTGCTCTCGCACACGCAACGACCGAAGGAGGAGCGCGCACGGACACAGACACGCACGGGACATCCTCGAGACACGAACAATTGATCACATTTGGACGCTCACTCGGACCCACTCGAGTTTCTTCGCAAGATACGGCACGTATAGAAAGTTCCTGAATTCTGAACACAGAACTCTGTCGTCTCACCGAGTCCGCCGGCCGGGGCAAACGCTCTTACCATAGTGGAGTTCCTGATGGCACACTGCGACGGAATGATGAAACTTCAGTCGCGATGAGGTCTTATATATCGAAAAGAGAAGAATTGTGGTGTGGTCGGGGAGATGCGGTCATCGTCAAGTGAACTTCGCCCGTCAAATGGAAAATTATCTCAGCGGCGAATGTCAGCAATCGCTCCTCCGCTCATTGAAGCTGTCTGGTGACTTTTTTTTGTTCGTGATCGCTGGGGTTCGGGCCACCGTTGTTTGATGGAAAATCAAGTAGTCGTTGGCGACTTGCACTCGCTGGCAATGAATGGCAGAGCGCCGTGCAAGGTGACGAAGATTCCATTCTGTGAGTTTGCCGGCAGAAAAATAAAAACCCCGAGCATCAACCCGGTGCATTATGTAGGGCTGTTCCGTTTCGGGTGGATCCAAGTCTTGAAATAGCCCCGGCTTGGATCCACGGTATGGATAGTCAGTCGTCCGAGCGACGAGCGAGCCATCCGACCTCAAGTGTCATTCACTGGGAAACGAAACCCTTGCGCTAGCAACTTCAGAAAACTTCGGCCGCGAGCTTCGAGCCTCCTGTTCGGAACAACAATCTCTCTATCTATATAAAGACTCTTACGAACTATAATTACCGAGGATGCGTATGTTTAGGCTCATCGGTAGGTAAATGGATTCTGATTCCACCGCGTGGGCTCGACGACCGCAATCTTGTCCAAATGCACAATATGGTGGGAAGACTGTCCGCTAACATGCTTCTAAGCTGGGAGATCTGAGAGGGATGATTAATTCTCCTATCAGCTAATTTTAATGAATACAATGTCCTCTTCCATTTCGCGAGAGTCGCTGCTCTCTAGCAAAACGGTAAACATCAAAAGTTTCGAAGGACAATTTATTTCCCCTTAGAAGCGCGTCCGATACACGGCCGTTGGTGTTGCCGAGCTCTAGCTCTAGTAAGGACTCGCCAAAGTCGACCTAATCCCCTCCAGCTGAATTCTGAAGAATGCTGCTCATTAATTCTTGGGGGATAGTCTTTAGGAAATCTGTCCACCGACTCTAGAGGTCACAACGCGATTAATCTGCAAGCTGCGTTCCTTGGGAAATGCCGAGTTTTCATGCGTTGCCTCACAACACGCATTAGCCTATCGCTGTTTGCCCGACATCGGGAGATATTCGATGCCGATACTCTGAAACAAGATACAAGCCCCGGTGACGACAACAGCGGCTCTCTCGAGTGCATATTTTTTCAGTCAATATTGGGTTCCGTACCGCGGGTCATTAGTGCGGTAGCAAGATCCGCTCAGAGTGTTCTCGAACAGCTCGAACTGGCGCTCCCGTTTCACGGAAGAAAAACAGAGGAATTCCCCGGAATCTCCCGCACATACGTCGGAGGACATCCTGTGTCGGAAACGAAGGAGAGTCATTGTTTCCGGGGGAATTATGGTCGTTCCGACTGGGAAAAAACCGGCGATTCGAATGAAAAGAGAACGACAGTCCCCCTGACCGCGATACGGATCCTCACATGTTTTCGTCCTACTTCTATTTGCATCGCGACTTTCTGTAAAGCTGCCCCGAAGACATAATCGTTGATTGCGAATTGCGACCGAGGCTAGTTTGGGGAATGTTTTGGAAAACAGTTACGAGCGCCGCGGCGAGCCTTTTTCGCAATGTTAATCGGTTCCAAAAGAAAACACACTTACGTATGGAACCTTCGTCGAATGAAGTAAATTAAAATCACGTTCAAGTGGCTGATTCTCGCAAACAGAAGGCTTCACTCCAATCTTGCCCCGAACTAGATGATTCATTTTGGGTGGGCTCAGAGGAGACCTGCGCTGATGACGCGTCGGATATGAGAGTGATCGACGGGACGACAGCTCGGGAACCTATCCGAATCCGGTGCTTTTCATCATACGACACGCTCATCGCGTCATTGATCAATCGACAACAAGATCGATGCCTTTTCGCAGTGAAATTCATTTTTGCTGGAGCGGCGCTACCCGGTTTCGATCGCACGACGATCCGAATTTCTGTCTGCATCGATCTTTTGGACTCACACCCGAATCGATTGCTTTTCCCAGCTCTGCTTTTCGCCGAGTTCCTCTTAGAGGAGAGATTCGACCGATTATATAGTCCCATGATTCTCCACAGTCTAGCCGTTCGTGGTCTACGAGAACTGTGGTTCGATCTGGATCTTAGAAGGAAATTGCGAGGCGAGATTCGGGAGTTTCTCGAAATACCCTACTTGGTAACCGATGGTCTCTCCGATTCGGAGCTCCAGGACATGAGTAATTTCGCAGGACCCCTAGAATCTCTCGTGCCCCTGGAGAATCTCGTCCGCATCAGAACGATCATGAAGGAGCAGTGTACTGTCTCATCGGATGATCATCAAAGAAGAGCAGAACTCAAGTGTGATCGATGTGCGACTAGGGACCCATCCTAGCAGAATTACTCCCTAGGTCGAGGAACGAACTGGCTCGGAAAAGTAAACACTCGACTCTCATCAAGTGTTTGTCCGGGAAGTTGAACGACTTTTTGGTAAATTATTTCATCATTGGAGTGGCGGTCAGCGAAGGAGCGAAAGTAGATACGCCGAACTAGCGCATCGGAATTTTCTCTGAGATGGAAAAATTCCAGACGCAAGATAATCATGCTGGCCGTTCCGAAGCTCCCTAGCGGTCACGGGCCTTCGTCGACGAGAGAAGCGTGGGGAATCTCATCGAAACTCTCTGCGAGCGAGAGACATCATCCGCGAAGGTAGTCCCCCGATACTCTCGTCCAGGATGCGGATGCTACCGGTCGGGTGGCGATGGCGCTGAAGATCCCGAATGGAATGGTTTGTAATCCGACTCGTTCCGCGGAGAAGAGTAATTGTTGCAACCTGATCTTTTCCTAACAGTTCCTCTGAGTTTTCGTTCTCCCTCAGAGTTCGATGGGACACTCGCCCGATCAGCAGAGCTCTCCCCAATCGATCAATGTCTAAATTTACGCCTGTCGCTGGAGCTCCAGCAGGAACTTCCGCAGACGGTGGATGTATGTAAATGACTCGAACACAGTGCCGGACCCATATGAGATGCAAATGTATTCCAGCTTTGGAACGAAGGAGAACTTGCACACGATTGAATGTCTCGCTCTCGGCGGTGAGCACATGCAATGCAGCGCGTCTTCACGTTCACTGTCTGATCTTATTCTCAAAAAGCTTGAATTATTTAGCAGGACGGCGGCTATTCAACAACAACGAATTTCAAATCAGGTCTCACTCCCTTAGCTCATGAACACGTAATTTTGTCGATAATTGATGGTAATACCCGTGGTGCGGTGCCCAGGATCTGAACGACTCAGAGTTTATTATTTATAGATAGAATAGATAGATAGCTTGTTCGAAATTCGCGACTAGAGAAACAAAAGCAGCACTTCAAGCTGATTTATTCAGTAGAGCTGGTTAAAGCTGCGAATAGTTTCTCTGCGGCGCATTCATACCCTCTGGGCTTCTCGGAGAAAGCAAGCTAGACACTCCAGAGGATGATCTCCGAGACGTTTCGGCACTTTAAAAGACTACCGCGGAAGTTACACACGATATGTGTATGTACACGAGACAAGGATCTTAAGCCTTCGACAAGCTCCAGGAGTTCCTCTGCTGCTCTAAGTGGCAGCGTGCTCCGGGGAGCTTCTTTCTAGAAGTGGCGTCCTCGGTTTCCGACTCCGAGAAGCGACGACGCGTTCATACGAATCCAATCCTCTGGAGGTCCGTAGCAGGAGCTCAATAGTAATTCCTGAGGGGACTTTCTGAGACCACACTCCGAAATCGAAAGCCTGCGAGCATTTGAATTACTCTCTCTGTCTTTTGCTTGTCTGTACCGCTTTCAATTTTTCACTCGAGAGACTCGAGCGTGGATCACCCACGCCGGCCGTCTTGCGAGGCAGCAAAAGAATTTTCGTCTCGGAAACCATTATTTCTTTCGTGGAGAGTCTTTCTCCTCCGTGTGTCCCTCGCCAGCTCAAGGCTCGCCCCCACGAGCGAACTGCTAATTACCGCGAGCGGTAATGAAGCTCTGTAAAGTCGTCTTCGCAACATTTTTTGCTCCGCTCATTTGACTTTCGAGAATTCCCCTGAAGGAATATGATAAAGAAGCGTATCCGACTGGGGATGAATGAGATCGATTGTGTCATCTTTCCGCAGAGAGTCAGTGCTACTGCGATATTTCAAAAGAGAGCTCGCCCTTTATATCCCCGCCATATGAAGTCGAGCTGTCAGAAAACACTGGGAGGTTGGATCAGGAAAGCTCTTGGCATACGCAGGCAGACAAGAGGATAAAAGAAAAAACGAAAAATCACGATTTCACTCTCTTTCTACGGGCTCCACGACGAACAAGCGGGAAAAGTTGCCCTGTGCAAAACCTCGCGCTTTCTCAGGGCTTCTAGCAAGATCAGCGTGCTCATGTTATGTCAGGCGAAGATCACATTGACAATAATGACTCCTTGGGCGCGATTGAGACTCAATCAATTTGATTGTTATCAATATCGGAACGTCCACCAACTTCGCAACGCATCCGTGGAATAATACAAATTGTCCCGTCCGAAATACTCGCCCGTTGCGAAGGGAAATTCTGTGGGATTGTTCGGATGCCGTCATTGTTGGTGTCGATGTCAAAGGACTAGGCTGCCATTTCGAAGCGAAGGCAGCGAGCAGAAGAAGGTGTCTGAGATGATTGTGGGAAGAGTTTTTCTAGCCGAAGATAATTAGGACTTAATCGTGCACGCGTTTCCACCAATGGCAACCTTAGTGAACAGCCGCGTAGCTTCGAGGCTGACCGAAGCGTTGGAGATATAATAATTGTTCTGGATACGGCGGCCCACAACACCGTCTGCGTCGACCGACCGACCATTGATCGATGCGGCGAACCACCCAACGCTGGGAGCCAATGAATCGACTAGGTAAACAAATTCAAATTCGGTTTTGGCGAGTCATAAAAACGATTTATGAACTGATTCGCTTCGACCATTAAGGACGTTGTCTTCATCATCATCATTCCCTCCAGGAAGAGGCGCTACTAAAATTATTGACGATAATTTCGCTTCGAAGTACTGGAGTTTTCCTCTGATTCCGCTCCTTTCTATCGAGTTAATCTTGTCGTGACCATGAATCTCGACGATCTTTTCCAGCGTACAAGCGGATCGACCCATCCGTCGCACCGCAGTCCTGGGACAATTAGCTCAGATCACAGTGCACGCATTTCGCCAGAAAACGATGGACTTTCCATTGTACGGATGCTCACAATTTATTTTACAAGCTCTCGATGGCATCCCCGCGAATCTTCAACGCGTTCGTGTGACGACAAAACAACAGGGTGGCGAGAGCAAAACATTATAGGAGCGTACCCCTCTCAGATCTCGTTTTGTCAACTGGTATTCTCTGTCCCATTCTTCGCAGGAACCGTTCGAGTTGAGCGAATTCTCCGTGATGGCATTCGAAAGGAGCAACAGAAGATAACCGCACATAAAATATAGGATCTTGGGGATTCGCCACCGGAGTGAACGAAAACCATGACAATGACGTCGTCGACATAACAGAATGCCCAAGCAATGCCAAAGGCCGGCCCTGTGACAGCAGCGGGTTCATGTCTGAAAGCTTCGCTCGTGGCATGTGATTTGTCTCTCCAGAAGTGACAATGAGATGAAACCCCCCGCTAGATCGGCAGAAAAGAATTCAAAGAGATAGCTTAGAAGAAAAAGGGGAGACGGAAAAAATAAGGCTCCGAGCATTGCAATGCTCTGTCCGAGCGGATACCTATCATTCCTACGGGCATGTACGGGCACAGTCATTCGGGCAGGGAGAAGGTCAGCTGCCAGCTGAAAAATACACCGTATCAAAGCCAAAGATCATATCACTTCGAAGAGCTGACTTGCCTCGGAATCGTCATACCGTCCAATAAACTTTTCATACGTGTCGCTCGTCGGTGATTATACACCTACTGGTATACCTCACGGATGATGGACAGCCCACTGAACTGGGTCCGCATTGCGATGCTCATTTCCTCACGGAGAGAGGTCCAGATTCTAGAAGTGTCTCAAGATCTGCTAGAGCTTTTGGATTCCCCGGAAGCTCGATTGGTCAGCCGAAAGGACGGGGGGGAAGGATACCCGAATACGTGATCATCCATGTCTCCAGCGCAGTACCTCATCGATCCATACTCGCGGCCGAGTCTCTTGTCTTGTAATACGAAGTTGCGACTCCCGCATGCCCTCGTCAACTCATCTCAACATCATCCCCGGAGCTCTCTACTGGGCACCTTTTCTCGACGGCCGGCAAAAACTCCGACCGAAGTCAATATCCTGCCCCCTCCCCACCTTGGATTCAAGGGCAGGAGCAGGGCTCTGTATGGGCCTCCGAACCTCACTTGAAGCGACGTAGTTGGACGCTAAATCAATCGATCCGTGTTCTGATTATCTAGATCCGCGATTCATCGGGGTAATGCTCATGAAAAACCTATTTTATTTGAGCAACAGCCGCCGCCAAGAATCGTCTCGGGATCCCGATCAAGCAAAACCATGAGTGTCTCCAATACACTCTATAGACGCGTCTCACACATCAAGGTTGGTTGAATAATGTTCCGCTCGGTCGGTTGCATACGAGGTCCTCTTGAAGACTCCACCAGCGCGATACTGCTCCCGCTAATCTCCTCGCCAAGCTGCGTGCTTTCAAGCAATACAGTCAGAGGAATCGCTTACATTCCGTCGAATCGCATCGATGCACGCAGCAACTCGCGGAATCCAGGGGAAAATCCTCTGTCAATCCCTCTTCATTAAGTTGGAGGGTACCTCATTGGAATGGGAGCGTCTCAGGCTGCGTGCAAAGAACCCCTCCCCACTTCGTTTTCCGACTCATGCAGGACTTCCCTCGCTGATCACCGAACGCACAGCAAAGAAGCGGTCCGCTCCGAAGACCGCTACCCTCCACAAACGTTCCATAAATGATGTGGATTCCGTGGCTCTGCCGAAAGTTTCATGAGGCGTATATGATCACCCATGATGACTCTCTCATCACAGGACGATCATTCGCCAGGATTCCGCTTGTTTTGATTGCGTTCGGTTTCTGTTGAGGTGCTCCCACGATGTGATACTCGGCGCGTACGGTGGGGAGTCGCGACTCGCGAGCACACGGCTGCCTTCGGAATTGGCGATCGAGAAATCCGCCAGACAGAACCGAATTCTCCGGAGTTATTATATCCCGCCCCGTACTGGATGACCGCTTTGATTCAGGAATTCCCTGGAAGGCTTTCTTTGAGCGGTCACAACAAAGGAGACATTATCGTATAGCTGCGGTATTCTTTCCGAAAAAAAAATCGTCGATTGAATTCGTCGATTGTACGCACGGGGTGCTGATACGAATCCTTGTGACGGCACTCGGTAGGAGCACTCGTTGCAGCGTATCCATAGAACCAAGGAAATTCTTAGCAATCACAGAGATCTTCAGACAGCTTTAACGTACTCTGGTACCTCTTGTCCGAATTTGATGGTTTGCTGAAAGCTGCCTTTCACTTACAGGCACAATTGGAAATGACTAGCAATCAGAAACACTGTCAAATGACAGCTGAGAAGGAGCACGAGGGAAAACTTGAATTGACCCTATAAAATTTCTGTATTTCAAGGCTTTTGGTGATGACCACTTCGTGCTAAAGGCGTCTGATGCGCGGCTTGTTCTCCAGTTAGAGCAGAGGAAGCGAGTTTCACGTTCGCTGGACTTTTCGATTCGGTTCCGATCTCGTTCGTTTGAATTTCTGCACGGTATCCGTTCTCGTCTGCCGTATAGTGAACGGTCCTCGTGCGGCCGTCGGCCAACTGAATTGAATAGTGACCTTGCACTCGGCCGCTGGCGTCGGCTTGCTGCGAGTGTCCGTGCGAGCCCTCCAGGTCTTGAGATGTGTAGCTGAACTCGTATGGCTGCGGAGGACCATAATTCTCCTCTGAGTGTTGACGCACCGGCTGACAAATCACCAGAGGAAGAAGAGCTATCAAGGCGTAACGCTGGAAAATAGCACCTCGCCTGAGTAAAGCCTTTGTTCACTGAAAGTTAGATGGGCTCCCACGTTCCCTCTGGAAGCGTTGTGGCGCTCCTTCCCAGTTTGATACATTGGTGAGGTGGCTCATCCTCTCGATTATCAGGATGAGCACGTGTGCGGGGACTTCAACGGGGACAGATGTGATTTTTAATTCACTAGAAATCCGTGCAGAGACGGAGTCAGAGCACAATCCTGCCGAGTCCAACCCGGCGACACCTATAGCGAGCCAGGGAACTCCACGACGTATTGCAGTCTAGGAACCTGATCTTACTAATGCTATAAATTGACGTCCTATCTCACGTACTCACCAACATCGGGATCCGAATATGAGTCGATCGAACCGAGCCTCAGACGATTTGGTCGAGTGCCGTGGAACTGGAACTAGTCGTTCCGTTGACGACTCCGGACTGTCGTAGTTGCACTGCAGAAGAGTCCTTTATAGTCCCAAAAGTATTCACTTTCTTGGGCGATGCCGTTTCGACTCAACCCACAACATTCATTGTAGAAATGTCCATGTAACATCTTCTCGTAACTCAGTCATCTCTCACTACGGTGAACACAAACCATTTTTACTCCCTGTTTAGCTGTAACCATTCCTCCATGAATGAACGTGGATTTCCATCCGTCCGCTTCGATTGCGTCTCATGCTTTCTACACAGAAGAATGTTTCGGCATAGGAGATGAATTATTCCTTGGCGTTGTCACGGTCGTTAGATCGTCCGAGTAGTATCGACCATCCCCCTTGTGGGTCGACCAATGATGGCGAGAAGAGACTGAGCCGATCCTCCTCCAGATTCTCCGCTCGAATGCGATCGCCGAGGATTCTCCGTTTGCATCTCTAGGAAGATTCGCCGTTCCACACCTTCACTCACATGAGTTTTTGATTATACCTTTTTCGTGAGTTCTGGTCTTAGAGTCTTGCATTGGCCCGCTGCCCGCTGAGAGACTCGGAGCGATCTCGGATGATTCATCTAGACGAGAATCCATCTTTTGGGCTCTAGAGATCGATCCATGGACTGCAATTCGGGATGATACCACCATCTTGCGTCGACGGAGATGATTCATCATAACGGCTCCACGCTCCGAGCAAAGACAAGAGCATCAGACAGAAGCGTCTCTGCGGCGACGGCGCGGCGGTCTCGATGCCAATAGTGATGCCAGCAGCAGCAACAGACGGACGGACATAGGTACGGACGGGGTCGCAGGTGAGCTCTTTCTTAGGCACAGTTCCCAGTCTAAAAATTCTTACAGAAATATAGGAAAAGATACTTCCCACACTTGGAAAATGTGCCATTCAAAGGGCTTATTACTGGTCTTCCGCACTCGGTCGTCACATAATGGGTCGTTCATGGCGGACTATAGCAGCCAACTTTCTTCGGCGTTCGCTTCATTCCAAGTTACCACTCCTAGGACTTCGCATTTTCTGTAGAAAGATTTTCCAGCCGCATTCTCGAAAAAATGGATTCAAGTCTCTACGGTCTCAAACAGGCCGCGTTCCCGATGACCGGTCCGAGCTCGGTCGTGGATTCGGCATTTAGGGACACGCTATGCGAGCGTCCATCAATCGCTGCAGCGCGCGAGTGCTCTCCCGCAGGGAAGTCCGCTAGATGAAGTTCTTGCTCACTTGAATCAGAAGCCCTCACGGTGCTGTCTTCATTTTCGAAAATTGTTTCGGCACGGCATCTATCTCTCGCGCTGCTGCGTGATCTACTGACCATTACAGACCTTGTTACTTTCCGGCAAATTACGGACATCGTCCTCTTCTGGAAGGGAAACTCACCCCATATATCACACGCCACGTCCTTGGAACGAAATAAAGAAAAAAACAGGGTCGTGAACTGATAATGAATGATGCTTTGGAGACCCAATTCCAGTGAGAGGGAAGCGTGCGAAGACACGAAAGGTGAAATTCACGATGTTTGTTCAAGAAATTGAAACGAAGCAATTACTCACAGAAAATCAGCGGTCCCCGAAGGAATATGCCGGCCTGTTCCTGAAGAAGAGAGCTGTCAAAGCGGGAAGCAAATGCGGATCTTCATCCGCGAAATCAACTTGCTTTGACTTCGTGGGGTTGGACCCTAAGGTCATCTGTCGCGAGCAATGCGGATCATTTTTTGTGATCCTATATTTTCGCGATGTTAGGGCCATATTTTCTGATGCATCCAGAGATTGGGAACGGGAAGGAGGGGAGAAAACGCCAGATTCTTGGGGCTAACATTTAGAGCGCTGAACTCACTTCCCGTGCTGGATACGAGCTGACCCATCTATCGGTGAAGAGAACATTTGGAAGACCTGGAAAGAGCTATTTTTTCGAATCGCCACCTCCCAATTCTACTACCTTATCGAGAAGAGATTATTCTTCATCATCGAGCATGTCGATTCTCGCCTACGAAGGGATCTCTTGGCTCAAATGTTCTCTTCAAACTACATCCCTCATCCGGAAAAGGCCGCCGCTCGAACCATCGTGGCGAAAGCAAGCGACTGATCCCATGCATCGCGGACTTTGAATGTTTTCTCCGGCCGACAGAGGAGAAAGCACCGCTATTATTCATTCTCTGCATAGAAAGCTCGAGCATTGTGGCTTTCTTCCACGAATCCGAATATTCTGGAACGCATTCTTCAATCCCTTCCAGAAGCCTCAGACCCTGTGTTGCAATAGCCAATCGATGTCTGTCAGACACGAATTGTAACAAACTGAATTTCTGTCAATCATGTTACATTCTATTCGATTTGAGCGAACCCCGCACGTAATAATTCTGCTCACCTCATTGGTCCGGTCAACGCCTCCTTTGGTCAGTTTCGGTCGACCTTGACCTTTCGCGGTAGCATCGCTGCGCGGCGGCAAGGCATCACGCTGCAGAAGCCTACGAATGTCCGCCTGGCAGCTCGTCTCGAGGAGAATTCTCACCCACCGATTATCCATTGAGGGATCTGTTAACAACAAGGCGATGGACAGCAAGGTCTCAAATGGGATCACGATCAAGAACACTCGCACGCTCGCTCCGACCGGCCGTAATACTCTACGCCCCGACGAGTCGGCGTGTTGGACGATGGTCATGGACCGATAGCATGAGGCGATACATCTGACTGAGTGTCGGCTCGAACAAAGGGTGATATCTCGAGTGTTTTTCGAAGTTGTTGTCAGAATCGAAAGTAAGCTGTTACGCAGGACAGCGGCTCCGGAGGCAAGGCGGAGCGAGAGCCCGGAGGCTCCGTGAATTTTCGCCTTGCGCACCATGTCCAGCACCATTGCGCGTCATCCGCGTCGGTCGGGAAAGATCTCCGATGAACGAAAATGGGTTTCTGGGAGGGAAATACGGTAGCAGCTCACTCGCTATCTCTCCTTTATCGCCCCGCTATCGCCAGAAAATCCAAGAGGCGATATCACACGCACGCGTCTCGCCTTCGATGAATATCTATTTGATGCGTAACCCTTCGGACTGCGGTCACATCGGGATGCAACTGTCCGGGCGAAAGGAGAAAAGGCTGGACGATTGAGAGGAGAAATGCGAGCAGACACAGAATGTCAACCCGTAACGACGACCAGTTACGCAAAACCATTACGCGCCACAGAAGTATTTCAAAATTCACGAAGCCACATCGACCTCCCATGTCAGGGCTTCAGTCGATATTGCCGGCTGCCAGATCAATTCTGAAGAGGGGAAAACCGCCATTCATTCTTGAAGATGTAGGAATGAATTGGATTCGAATTCAATATATGTATGTAGATAGTAACAAACAGCCCATACGACTGAATCCCGCCAGCTTTCGGATCAAACTTCTTCTTTGCCACTCTTCTGCGATAGCGCAACTGGACATTTAAACTACTATAACGATAATCCCGACAAGCTTGGAATCGTGTGTTTCAGATCAATTTGCAGGAGCCCGAGCTTTGAGTGGCACATACAGAAGGATGTACTAATGAGGTCGTAAGCACAGCCTCCGGGTCGACTTTCTCATCATCGGAATCCGCATGACTTGACAAGCGGAATATGGAGCCACTCGGGGGATCCTACCCTCGCTTCTCGAGAGATTTGTGCGCGGAGCTCGAGTCGGACGCGTGGAGAACTGCCCATCATGATTCATTTAGTTCGTATGTATCGAAGCATCCTCAACCGAGAATGACATGCTCCCCGGAAACCCATAGAGTGCTGAGAAAAAGACGCTCCCGGCCGATGGCTTATTGACATTGAATAGATCCGGTTTCTCCGAGTACAGGTGATGGATACTCGCGTCGGCGTGACTTCATTTCCTTCCCTTGGCCTGCCCCCACGGCTGAGCCGATGCGGCAGCCCCCATGGCAAACGGCGAGCAGACCGTTGATCCTTTCCTAGTTACGGAGAACCCGGTCTTCTGAGGTCATCCTTTTCAAGCGCGGAGCTCGGAGATCCCACTTTCCGCTGTCTCATAGGGAACCTATAGCTGATCGGTTGTGTATTCTCTGTATGGAATTTGACATCCATTTTCACTGTGCGCTCGAACAGACCATTCGTCCTGATCGAGTTCGAGTCGGAGGGTAACGACGGAGCCGATCTCCCCGCTTTCTCATTCCTCCCGTGTCCTCCCTGATGAATTCCAGGATAGACTAACACATCGTGCGAAAGACGAACAAATGAGTCTAGAGCGTTCGAATCTTCAAGCTCTTCAAATTCCGCTCCAGGGGTATGCTCTCATTAAGGGTGCGGAGGAACTGTTTCCTGAGAGTTATTTTTATTCGAAGTACTCGTTGTTGACGGCATAAAACGGTGAATTCGAATCTGAAGGAAGGAAATGCGAAGACGGAATCCTCCCTTTTTCGAAACGAAGCATCCCGGATTATCGACACAGCGACTGCAAATTTGCGCGGAGGTTCAACTCCCTCCAACGACTGGAGAGTTCGCTCATGAACTCGATTAAAGGCAGTGAGAGAGATACTTCGAGATACTTTGCTTATTGACACGAAAGCGACACTAATATTACCGTGAGAGCGAGCGATGGAGCCGAACAAAGGGAACTTCAACATTTACCTTTTTTCAATAGCGTATTTTTCAAATCAATAAGTCGTCTGCTGACCAGCATCTCGCTTCTGGGTCGCTTTTTCATTGATGATATCATGAACATACCGCGGGAATGTCTCTTTTCTGACGACTTCATCAAGTCTGCTCTGCGCAAGAAACATAATTCTCGAACGTGCCTTGGCTCAGGCTTCCGATCCTTACTTGTATTTTTGCTCAAGGAAGAAGGAACCGTGTGAAATGAGCGTTTCAAATTTCGAACTCTCCACTGTGGAGAAGAATGCCGTGCTTGCTGGTATCAATGACTGCGTGACATTTTTGTGTTCGCGGAAGAACTCGTCGACGATTTGAAGATGAAACTATATTCTGCACGTCCGGGTCGAGCGATTCAGACTGACGAAGAATCCTTTGTCATTTTCGGATGTCTTGATTTATCACGCCGGAATTCCAGCTCGGAAATTCTGATGATGGGCTTATCCGTTGACATTCTTCGAGGTTCTGTTCCGTGGAGGAGAGAGGGAGGTTTTCCGTCAGAGTGGGGGAAGAGCGTTACCATTTTACGCACAATCAGTTGATATGGGATACTGTTCCCCGTTGATCGCAGCACCTGTTCGTAGTTTGATGCTGTCATTTAGACGCCATCATTGGGGCGCCGACGCAAACAGAAAACGGCTCATGAAAGGTCATTTCTCTTCTTTCCGGCATACCGGGCAATCAGAAAGCGGCGAGAAATGAGCCTCGTAATTGCTCAGGGATTCCACTTTCCGCCGATCGCATCCCTGCTCCATAAGCACGAATATCCCGAATTTCTTCTGTCGTTTCTGGGAGCAGCAATAATAATCTTCCCGTGAATGATGTCCCGACACCATTGCTCCGCTTCCAGGGAGTGCAAAACCGAAATCTGAATCTCGAATCGTACTCTCAACAGATAATCAGCGGATCTCGCCAATTAGCTCACATTGTCGTGAAGAGTCAGCGGGTTGAGCGTGGAGCCCACGACCTGGCGTCCCGCCTTCTCATGATCAGACGACCATGCACACCTCTTGAAGAGAAGCCTTCCTTTTAGACTAATTCAGTGGGGGAAGAGCTCAGATGGCTCCTCAGACGCTTGGTCATGCAATCCGTTTGTTAGTCCTTTAGTTGTGATACTCCAGCGCGGAGGATGCACGCTATTAGATGCAACGTAAATAAGCTGCCGACAGCGAGCGACTCGCTCGAGACATTCATTCTCCAGCAGCTTCCGACAGTATGCGCATTACGGCCTTGCGGCGGGAGCGTGAGATTGGATGATGTCGCTTCGCTGGGTATAAGCTTCAGAGTCCACTGAGTCAGAATCGTAGCTCTCTCTCGCTGAGGACATCGGGTCGAAGAGCAATGATCATGCTATTCCGGGGAGCGGGGGCCAGATTTCTGAACACCGATGCTCATGGAACACTGATCGGCGATTCGAGCGCGCAAAAATCGTCACGGTGGTTTGGAACGGGGATTGCTGATTCAATTATTGAACACCTCATTGCTCCGTATGAGTCGTTCAGTCAAGGATTTCGCCTCGAACTCTCTCTGGAGAGTTGAGCCTGGAGGAGTACCGACTCCGGAAGCACGCCGAGACGGTAACGAGTCGAAAAGGTGGAAAAACTCGAAAAAGTGGAGAGTGTGATATTTAAGAGCGACGGCGGTCTTCTCGCCCAGTTCAGCAATGATTATTCACGTGAACGATACCCTTAAGAGCATGGAAGCCCACATCGAGAGCTGAAATTCCTCGATGCGGTCGCTGGTTTTCTGTACCACAGATTCGTCAGCAGAATATTTCATCTTCGCTCAGCTGGCTAAAAACGTCACCTGCTGGAAGAATGCTCCCGAGCATAGCCCTTAGAGAAATGTTGAAATAAAAATCACGAGTATCTTGATACCGGAAGCCGTTGATGTCGATGATGCGACTGATGGAATTACGGTCGCAACCGATCCGAGCCGAGAGGGATGAATTTACTGGTCGAGTGCCGGTTAATGCCGACCGACAGACCGATGCGCGAATAGCTTTCACGTCCTGATGAACGACCTGTTGTGCGATGCGACGAACAGTCACTGATTCGTCGGCTCCATATTCTTCTGTAAGTCTTAGGATATCGCCAGATCGAGCGAGCATTGCTTTTCTCACAGCTGGCAGAATACAGAAAGTCGGACTGAGGTGTAAGTGAATCGACTCGACCGCTCGCCTCTTCGCAGCCTTCCATCGGCTCATAACACTTTGTCGGCGTGTGGGGCGGATATCGCGCATTGTTCCAGGGAATGTCTGTTTAGGTGACTCTCTTCTGCCGAAGCGTCAACGGAGGCAAGGTCGGTGGGGGAGAAACATATAAGTTGCGGTCGACGGTCAGAGACATCGCATTCGGATAGTTCCTCTGGCTCTAGCAACATGGTGAGAAGAAAACCTATTGTTGGCGGCATCTGAGGGCGGGCAGATTCACGGGCGAACTAGCTAGTGCATGCCTCCGGCCCGCCCGTCGGGTCCGCTGTTGCTCTGTCTGTGAGTTCCGCGCGGGTTCGCTCTTATCGAGGTCGAAGTGAATTCGGACTCGAGACTCCTCGAACCTTCTTGGAAGAGGTCTCCCGAGGAGCCGGGTCGCGTGTGATGGCGACGAGTGTTATTCCCGAGTCCAGCAGATGCTGAATTCTCTAGGTGAGCCCGTCCCCTACCTTGCCTCATTTCAATTTCTCTCCATCGTCTCTTTCCAGCGTAGATGCACCACCCTCGTCGTTTTGGTCGCCGCCCTCGTCGGAATCTCGGACGCCGGTAACATCCCGGGCGGCGGTCATGGAGGAGGGTTCGGCCATCGAGGATTCAATGGTGGGCCCGGGAGATTCGGTGCCGGAGGATTCGGTGGGGGCCACGGGCGGTTCGGCGGCGGTCCCGGAAGATTCGGAGGTGGCCACGGAGGTGACTACGGAGGTGGATACGGGGGCGGCTATGGGCAAGACTATGGTCCCCCAATGCCGTATCAGTTTGGTTACAGTTCCCAAGACCCGGATGGAACTCACGCTCACAGCCAGACTTCGGACGGACGTCGAGTACAGGGTCATTACGTGATCCAACTGGCCGATGGTCGTCAGAGAAGAGTCGACTACACAGCTGACGAGACCGGCTTCCATGCCAAGGTGATGACGAACGAGCTCGGAACCGAATCTAAGGACGCGGCAGATGCTATCTACGAGTCCTCCGCGATTCCTGGGGATCAGGCGGCGATCCAAGGGGGACCCGGCCCGAGAGGACCTTATGGAGGGGGACCTGGTCCAAGAGGACCTTATGGAGGGGGACCCGGTCCAAGAGGACCTTATGGAGGCGGACCGCATCATGGATTCCGAGGTGGTTCTTTCGGGGGTCCTCACGGTGGTAGAGGTTTCGGACCTGGCGGTAGATGGTAGTTCCGATTTACATCAACTGTAGATACATTTGAAAATTGTAATTTATTGCATGCTGCTCGACAATGAATCTCCTGAGCGATTCCATTGTGCGGAGGGACGTCAGCGTGCAGAAGACGTAGCTAAAGAATTTAACGCTCGACTCCATCCCAACCGATCTGAACGGCGTGGGGCTTGAGCGACATTCAAGGTTTTGTGAGCATCAGACACCCTATGGGCATGGGAGTATCACCTTCTGTTTTGAAGCTGAATAAAAGTGACGGAAGATATTTTTTCGAGACTGATCGCCCCTTCTCTGGAATGATAGCGTTTTCCCCGAGTCAGTTTTTCTCAGAGAGAAAATACATTTCGATGTTTCCCGAAAAATCGGGTTGAAATTCCTTCATTCTCAACTCGCTCCCGAAGCTTAGTCTCTGGACACGTTGAGAGGGGTGACTGTTCACATCCACGCTCCTCTCCCGACGACAGGTCAGAGCCAGGAGCGGTCAAATCAGAGAAATTCTCGGAGAGATCGGGAGATGGTAGAGCACAGTTGTGAGCAGTTCAGTAGTGCTGTTAGGGTATGTGTCCATGCACCGTCCGGTCTGCCCGCGCCAGGGTAGTTTGACGAAATCGGACGACGTTTCGATATACCACGCAAGATGCTAGCAGAGAATCATGGGATCAACCTTGATTGTTCGAGTTAAGTAAGTCCGCTGCGCAGTCTTCAGTGACGGCTCTGGTGTTCTTCGACCCCAATATTTCCTGTTCTTGGCGTTCCGCAGCTTTTCCGTGGCACTCACGTGGAGCGGCGAAGTTGTGTGAGAATTCCCTCCTCAGACGAGATCTTCCTTCCTTATCTCCCCAGTTGATCCACCGGTGTAATCTGTGGTGAGAGTGTGAAACAGATGTATCAAGACAAGTGTGAGGATGGTATACTTTAGGAAGCCCTCCGAGAGTTTTCCGGATCGGAGTTGTCCCCGGTCCTTGAAGGTGAAAGGGTAGCTCCACAGTCACGACGGGCAGCGAGCGTGGCTTTCGAGACTGACGTTGCCATACTCTCCAGCCTCATTAAGTCCTGAATAAGGCGAATTCGGGGAACGTTGATAGGATATCAGCTGGAAGATCGCGGTGATCGCGTCGACGGACGGTATCCGTCGATCCTTTCCAAGACTGTGCCAAGGTGCCCCCCGAAGATGTACCACTTCACCCCTCCGAATGCTCCGGGCGTCAATGATCAGGTATAGCTCCTGAAGAAGAACCCAGTAGGCAGATACAGCCAGGAGGATCCGGGTGGGACCTGCAAGCTCCGTCGGATAAGTGCCGGAACTCTTTCCTCGCGGAGAATGCTGTTTCTCGCTCGGAGAGAGTCCTCAAACAAGAATAAATCCCAAGGGTGAAACTCCCTGGGCCCGTGAGGTAGTGTAGTTGGTACCTCACGATACGGCGCATGCTCATGGTTTTCTCGCCTTCTCTTACTCGGCGGGCTCGGCACGGTGAGACTCGCTGCACCGGGCAGTTTCCGTCCCCCAGTTCCGCATCTCCGAATGTCAGAAGAATTCCGTGTCACTCGGAAAGGTCTGTGCAAGGGAAGTAAGAGCCCCGGACCAAGTCACCTAGGAGAGCTCCGGAATGCGTTGGACGAACCGCTGATATGGACGTCTTATACCTCGGGGGCCCAAAGTATCGCCGTAAATATTCTCATTGAAGGCCACGCCCGTCTATTTTTCGAACACCAAAGACCCGCCCGCTCATCGGAGACTTGCCGTCAATTGCGGACTGCCCGTCGATTTTTTCCGTCCACTCACAAGAGCGAGCCCGGTCACTCGCACTGGTATGGTATATTGAACCAATAGAACGAGTACCAGGTCAGACGACAGACGAACCTCCGCAATCTTCACGACACTGGTGTCTGAAGTCGTACTCTCGAAAGAGCCCGTTCATTGGAGACTGACCGTCCATTTCATTTGCCCTTTGAAAAATGCCCGCACATTGGGACCGGGTCGGTTCGCCGGTACATGACGGTCGACGACCAGCCGTTGGAGTGCGTTTTCGATTCCGCGGCTCGTGGATCGCGTTGAACGCCCCCCTGGACCTCGCCCTGCTTCACTCCCCATCCATGCGATATAGACCTGAATTTTTCCGATTCGTCCATGAATCGCGGATGAGATGTCGCAGAGTTGTCGACTGCTTTCCCGACAGGATTGTATATTCTGTGGTTGGCTTCACACATAAGGAAACATGCCAACCGCATAGAGCCGAGAGCAATTTTCTCATCGGTACTCCGTAACTGGGTTTGAGCAGAGAAGAGAGCACGCGTTTGTTATGTTTGGGTGTCCCTTCCTCTCGGGCGCCCTTTCTCCGTGTGCACTTTCCACCCGGACGAATCTCTCGGAGCGAGGTCTCTCCGAAAAACCAAGTCTCAGCCTGACAATCTAATGAGTGCTCTCGACGGAGCGCTTTCGAACCTCCGACTCGAGCACCAAGCGCAGAGCGCGTTCGACTGTCACTATCGAACGCCGGTCGGAAAAGTGATCCTATCCCAAGAATTGACCGGAGGATTCGGAACATTGAAAAGCGGCTCCCAAGCCCGGATTTCAGACCGAGAGCGATCTCGGCGGTTTGGCTGTGGCTCGGAACTTCGTGAACTTAGGAGCTCGCACTGCCTGCTACATCAATTTGTGCTTCGAGAACCACTTCGTGTGTACAGCTCTGGAATTGCCGCCCCGCGGGGGATCGGAGAGCGCGTTTATGATTGCGGCGTGAGCGCGACGGCTGCGGAGGAATCTTCCCCGTAATGGCTCGTTTTGCGGTACTTCTAACGGCTGCAGCAAACGTCTTCACAGTGTTCGGTAAGGGACTCTAATTTCGATTTGAGTGTGTTCCAAGAAGGAAGATATCCCGATCTGTTTGAGAGTCTAGTCCAGAGTCTAGCGGTCTTCGGTCTGTTCGAGTTCTCTGGTCACTATTCAAACAAAGCGGATAATTTTCGCTGCGGGGTGACACCTGGACGGAAACGAAGCACGAACATGAGAATTACCTTCTACCGATACATGTACATGAGCTGTTGATAATAACGCTTCGACTAGGATGATCTCACAGCATCGGAACACCCGTTCTTGTCGGGCCGATATAGACATTCGAAACGATTCTAGCCCATTTCCCCCAAGGTATCCTCGACAACCGAAAGTAATCGCGTCCAGATGGAGAGGCGTACCAGGCGGAACGGTTTCGTGCTCTTCTCGCGGTCCTTGTCCTGCTCGTCCGTGATGCAATCGAGGATGCAATCTCCTCACGATGCGACGGTTTGCAGCAGAGTCGTACCCTGATCCGGTCGAAGCGGAATTGGATGCGTTCCCCGTGAACAATTTCAGAGGAAGCGAAGGGAGCTTAGTGGTCCACCGCTGGAACGAGATTCTCGGGGAGCCTTTTGTCCAAACAGAATTCGGTCCTGAAAGGAGCTCGCGATCCTGGCGAATGAACCTCGTGAGGGCTGAACATATCCTTCTCCGGGAGATCTTGAGCGATTTCGCCGACCACCGCGATTGACACTCCGTCCTTCGAGGCTCCTGGAAGTAGGTGCATCGACGGGAGAAATGGACGAGTCGGAAATCAATTCCGAGAAAGGTCTCTCTATTACAGTCGGAGATTAATTGTTTCCCGAAGCCCTTGTCTCGATGCTCATCGATCTGTGCCGTATCGGATATCCATACTCGTACGTCGATGTCTCAGATAATTCAGTTTCGCACTCCCCCAGGACCTTCGTGTCTTTCTGCGGTGAACACAGGGTCCTACATTTCGCTTTCGCTACTCGAGTGATTCAATATCGAAGATCGCACAGCGGCACTGCGGCGAGATCTGCTGAGGAAAACAAGTCCGCTCGGAGATTCCAAGCGGTTGACCGCGCAGCGATTCACGACCCAGAGGAATCTAGCCATGGAAGAGAAGATCGGTCCGCATATCGATGTTTCGAATGCCGCTTCTCAAGAGGCTGGCACATTTTCCGGAATGTATTATTTATAGGTGCTGTTCTAAAACTTCCGGTAAAGTGAGAATGTTTCATGATCTTCGCTCGTGTACGAGTTTTTCGAGCCGCTCTTCCGACTGTCATAAGTCGCGCGCCAGACGGCATCGAGTGCAGGAATTGGAATCGGTCACCGCGAGGCCTTCCCGGACAATCGTATTGAAGAACTCGTCTTGTGACTTCAGGAGGTACCAGTTGCTCGGGAATGTTTTCTTGGGAGTATCCCTTCCGAGATATCGTTCTGCAACCACGTTTGTCGAGATGACGTGGTGGCTGACAGGCTGGTAATGGTCGGACAAAAACTTCGAAACGGGGTCATCGTGAGACCTCCAGGCTGGAAAAAGAGTTCATCAAGCAAACAGTTTCATTTTAGAGAGTTGCCTTCGACCGCACGGTTCCTTTGAACCCGGCTCTCCCCGTCACACGCTGAATCTTCTCTGCCCGTCTAGCAACTTACGACAGAATCACGTCATTAAATTAGAAGCCTTGCTTCACACTAATTTCGAGCTGATCCACCGCAGCTCTCTGGCCCATCGAGACACGATTTCGATCGGCATCCGAGGCTTGTTTACGATGAAAAAATCCTCCGAGGTCGCTCCCGGGCTCGAGGATCTCACGGAAGATCCTTTCGAGAACCCTCTCCGTCTAATGTGTCTGCGTGGCTCGGAACTGCTAGGTTACGCGAGCGTAGAGTCTACTACCTTGGTGAGTTTCAGGGGCTCTCAGCTGGGAAACTCCGATTCGGACTCTCGAGAATCTTCCGAACAAAAGTTCTTGGAGTGGAGGGGAGCTCATGGCTCCGAAGTATTCTCTTGGGATGGTCTGCGTTGGCGTAACTCGGCTTCTTGAATTTTAATTTCTGTAACGAGATTCAGGAGGCGAGGGAGACAGTCATCCAGCTAAGTGAGAGCTCTCAGCAATTATGCAGAGAACACTCTGGAAAACTATCGAGACAATTATGCCGAACGCTATTCCATGTTTTCTCAGAGGAGGGGGTCCCGGCTGAGATGAAAAACAAGCGGAACTTTGGAATGAATGCGCTTGCGCGTATGAAATCCGTCCCGTGTATCGTCGCCTTGCGGACGCTCGAAATTGGGTTCGATCATCGCTGGCGCAACTATTGACTATGACAACTACATACTGGAATGCTTTGCAGCCGTGATATGGTGGTTGAAGAGGAATTCCTACGAAATCGCGGAAACTGTCCCTGTTTGGCTCTCGTGGATCTCGAACTCGCAGCTTAGGCGCTAATTCTCGTTCCCTCAAGGTTGACGTCTTTGTCGAATGTTTGCTCCCGTCTTGAACTCCACAAACAAACGCTGGGAGCCTTTAGAAACTTGAACTCCAAAATAGGCTCCAGCAAACACCCCAATCATCAGCGCTTTCAAATGTTCGCAATGACCTGCTGTTTGCGATGACAACGCCAGATTCTGGGGGAGCGGCTGATAGGAAAGTCTGGGGCGTCCCCTGAAACCTTTGAAAAACCACGAGTCGAGACTTCCGGCATTCAATAGCGGCCTCGGAATAATTTCAGACAGGATGCTCAGAATTCCGGGGTTGAAAATAGCTTCTCGCAGATTCGAATTTTTTGAGCCCCCCTGTCTCCGTCCGACATGCCATCTCGGGAGTTGCGTTCCTCTTCGGCTTTGTTTACCTGCTCACGGTGTTTGTTTATACGATGGAGTCGAGTCCGACGATTCGTTGGCTTCGCACTCGGCGTTGATGCCATTGACCGGCTTCGGGAACACAGCGTCCGCGCACTGACCTTGTAAAACACTAAACATTGTCGCCACTCTTCGGTGGGGCATGTAGTCAGCGAGGAAACGATTTAGAGAGCGATTTTCCGATCGACTGCTGGTCTGCTCGCTCGTTCGAGCTCGATGTACATACATACTCCTTGTTGGGTTCCAGCGAATAATAGGAGTTCGGCATCCGTTCAGCGGAATCGAATCATTCCCCATCGGCTTTTTTATGTCGACACGGAGATCGCTTCAAAGACAGCCGCTTGATTCAGTCAGACAGATGTTCTCTGTTCTGTCCGCGATGAAAGTACGTGCTGAACGTGCAGAGGCAATAGAATTCCTGCTGATAACGAGGGTTGCGATTTGTGATGTTTCGGATATGGTTTGTCGAATATCTGGGTGGAAGTCGATTTCGCAGTCACTCGATTCTCAGAGGAGATCGCGAGCCAGCTCTTGAGGAGGTTCAGGAGCATCTAGGTAGTGGGGGCCGCCCGACGGAAGCATGTGAGGGGGAAGACAGTATGAGTTTTCCACAGAGACACCCACAAATCGACTCAGTCAGTGTGTAAGCCTGGTGAACTTGGCCCAATGCGCTGCGCTCAGCGTGAGGTCAGTCCAGCTCTCCCGGCGAACCTCGCCCTCGAAGATTCTCTCCATTGCGCTTGTGGCACCGATTCGGGCTCCGTGAGCGACACGGAGTTTTTTGATCGTATCAAGCATCGGAATCTTCTTCGATGACAAGCCATGGAGAATGGAATCCTTTGTAGGGAAGGTAGTACGTAGAGGGTGATTCGACGTGGCTTCAGCGTGGTGGCAAGATTTCGCGCGGGAATTCATCGGCATTTTCGCGAGACCGGTAGGATTCATTCTTTCACCCAAGCCAGAAACGGAATCAAATGGAGATGATAGAGTTCTGACTCCGCCCCGGTAGTTGAGGAACCAATTCGGCAAACGCGGCTCGACTCGGAAGTACGTGATGTACGGAGGGCACGTGGGGCTTGAGCGCGGAGTTCGCGATGAGGTCGACGTGGCGCTTCCAGAAAGAGCTACGACTCAATTTCCGTCTCGGCCCCGTTCGAGAAAACTCAGAGGAAAGTTTCCTAAAAGCATTTCCCTGCAGATCCCGCTCACTCGGCCCTGAGAGTTCCCAAGCTCGAGTCGGAAGACCTCGCCACCCCCCCCCCCCCTCCACGCATCAATATGCGGCCTATCTCCTGGAACTGCTGTGAGGTCGATAGGATTAGTTCTCTCAGAAAAAAAATCGGATGAGCGAGGGAACCTCCGGACTTCAGATAGAAGCGCTGCGGCGACCTTAACACGCTTCCATCTCTCGGTTGCTGCCACGAATTAGAAGAAAAAATGGTCCCGAGAGTTCTTGCAGAATCCTTTGAACGATGCGACGATGTATAAGAGCCCTCATGGAACCCCCTTAGCGAAAAACTCTGCCCACGTCATTGTCCGTCCAAATAAATGTCGCTGGAAAACTTCTCCCGTGATGATTTTCCCCCAGCGTTAACTTTGCTTTCTCGTTCATTTCCCGGAATCTTGTGATGAGGAAAACGAAAAAGCAAAACATTTTCCTGAGATGCTGGGGAGGAGTCAAGCAAAAGTGCGAAGCATGGAAGTTCTCGCCGCTATTTCCTCATCGAGAGCCCCGGTTCCGGTGTTTTCAACGGGGTCGAACGGTCCTGACATGGTCCCGCACGTCTCATCGATCGGGAACTCGGTCCAGTCCTTAGAGCATCCTGACGGAGAATATTTCCACAGAAGAGGAGCTAGCTCGTCGTTCTCTCCGGTGCGCTCACTTAGAGGACAGAGTGGGTTCCGACGTAGGGAGTTTCTTAGCATATCTCATGGTGCGGAATGGTCGCTCTTCGATAACCCGAGTGCCTTCCTCTGTCCGAATAGCCCGTCAGCAACGTCTCCTCCTCCATTTATGCAGGAGCGTCGGTGCTTCCGTTCTCGCCGAGGATGGAGCGAGGGAGATTCTTGGAGCACCATTCCTCACTTGTGGATCCCCACGTTTGATGCCAAACCTAAACTGAAGGAGGCTTTCTGGGCTTCAGAGGTATCCGATTCTCCACATTGGAAGGCTTGCCCAGTCCTCGATACTATCAATGCCGCTCCCCGAGCGTCCCAAGAGCTCAGTGCTCGCAGGGGAGATGCCTTATAAAACTTTTGCGTCGAGATTTTTCCGCCACGGCCCTCGTTGTCTCCCTCGTCTATCAAAATCGCATCAATCTCATCACGTCATGGATATATCTGTCGCGACCCGTGGATCCGACGATTGATTCGATAGGTCCTCGCAGATGATATTTCTGTCAAGCTGAGGCACGATCGAGGAGTTCGTCTTCTCGTGACGCAACAACCCATGCTTGCTGCAGCAGAAAGCCCGCCTTGAACTTTATGATGAGCTACCGAGGGAAAATTTCCTCTTGAAGGAGCAATGGTCGTGGATCCTCAATTCCACCAGTCAGGACCCACCCGATCATTATGTAAGTTCTCGCGAGCTCCCCGGGAGCAGGGTGCGTCAGTACGATCGGACGGAAATTCCATCGGAGAAGACCAAACTCCATGGGTTGCGAAAACACTTATGGCTCGGAGGAAAACAGAACCTCTACGAGCAAAGACGAAGTGGGCTTCTGGCTTTCCTTCAGCCTCCAATTCCCCGAAGTGGCGAGCGGGCCTCTCTCCCGACGAAAAGGGAAAATCGTATATCCTCCTCCGTGGAGAGCCTCCATTACCTGCTCCATGGAGACCTTTGTTATGGTCTGTCGCTACTTTCGTAAAATATTTCTTCACTCACCTCTGGCTCCTCTTGCTTTTATCGGCAAGGTCGGTTCCCCCGACGCCGCGACGCCCGGTACGAGTCTTTTAATGAGCGTATTTTCGTGGAATGCCAAGCCTTGGAGGAATTCCTTGTCGCCGAGCTTTGGATTGTTAGTCCCGAGGCGAGGACTTAATCTCCTTCAGCTCAGAGGATTCGGAAGGTTACAAATCCTACGAACGGATTACATTATACGCGCCTTCGTATGGAAACCGAAACGAGCTGTAGAGAAAGGTTGTGTCCTTGTCTGCTAATGCGTCGAGAGCGATCACCAAGCACTTCCGAGCAAGATGAAACCTCGAGAGGACTGTTTCCCTCCTGGAATTCCGGTCGCAGAAGTCACATTGATCATCGGAGCACTTCTGGGATTTAGGGACTCTTTCCCGAGGAAATAGATCCGCCAGAATTGTATCCCAAGGCATATGAGGCTGTAAAACAGACGCGACCGTCGTCGTTTGCCGAAATTAGATGAGACGTTGTGCGCCTTCCACGCATTCTCCGAGCCACATCACTACTCACGGTCGAGGCACCGGTACACTATAAGGAGTGTATTCTCGTGAATTCCCTGAAAGCCATGAATCATGACCTGAATTCTCAGATAGTCTAGAATAGCGGAGGCAAGTCAGGGACGACGCGGTAGCGCAGAACGTCCCGAAGAGAAACCGTCGAGTTCCAGGGCTTTCTTCGACCGGAGGGCGTTGAGGGTTTCTCGAAGGAAATTCGACCATTTCTCATCATCCTAAGAGAATCGATCCTGTTTTGTGCGGTACGAGAATACCTAGAACGTGGAAGTCGTGAAAGTCAAGTGGCAGGGTGGCATCTACGAGTGCGTTGATAGGGGGACGGTTCCAAGGTCCTCGAGGGCAAGGAAGCCCGGAGGAGAATCAGCGCGGCCGTGGCGTGGTCGCACGGCGGCGATTATTCGCATCATGATTGCAAAGCTCCCTCTGCGCCGAAGCGAGTTTCGGTGATTGCATCGTTCCCAAACACGGGAACAATCCGCCTGTAGCGTGACGCGTTCGATATCGTACACTCGAAGTGATCGACGAAAGTGGCTGAACTTATCACGTTAGGCGAAGCCGCATGCGTGTTCGGAGACCGCACACAGTCCCCTTTCGGATCTTGCTGCTGTCGCCAGCTTGAACTTCCCCTTTGGAAGAAAATGTTCGGTGTGGGTCTCGCGACAGAATTTAGCACCGTGGACCTTTAGAAGGCTTTGAGGATCGAGAAGTGGTAATGGATTGAGGAATGTTCGGCACGGAAATACAATCTTCGGTTCGCGCCTCCGTGGAACTCCTGATCAGTACAGCTCTCACAGCCCTCAGACCGCACAGCTCTCAAAGCCCTCAGACCACACAGCTCTCACACCAGCAGCACACCTCTCGTCAGATCAGATGGGAAAACCCTTTCGTCAGTTCCACCGCCGAGCCTTCGGCATCCTGCCTATTATGGCTGTGTCGAAATTGGCGGCGACGTAGTGTGAAGGAGCTCTGTGGATTTGAGAGACGCCGACGCCATGTAACGTCGTCGGTGGCAGCTGTGACGGCTCGCGTGCTTTTCATAAAACGCAGCCGATATTCGCTGCATACGACATGAGCAGGAGGCTGCCCGAGCCGAGATTTTCGTGCATGAACAGAAACCGCAAGCACAAAGGCGCGCGACGGAAGAAACTTTTGACCAACGAACGTGACTCCCTCCTCCGAGCCCAGTATTTTCCTTACCATCGGTCTATGAACTGCAGGAGACTTTTCTGTCGCGGAGATTCCAGCGAAGAAAGTCCCGGCATAACCCGTGAATTTGGGGGAAGCGGCTTACTTAACAACGCCCTCTGTGATGGGGACTCTTGGTCAGCACAATAAGCCGCTTCGAGAACCCCTTTCTCGTTGACGGATCGAGACGATGACGGATCGATTGCTCCTCGGGATCCGCTTGCGAAAAGTTCGCGCTCGACAAGAATTTCTCCTCAAGCGATTGTTCGCGAGAAATCAGCGAGCGAAAGTCTCGAGGAGCGCAGAGCCGGGAACAACATGGGCAGCGCTGGAGGTGCGGGATTTCTCTCTTTGACGATCGGAGTTTGCCCGGGAATCGAGGCGAGGCCGGAAATTGGCGTTATTTTCTTTTCCTTGTTTGACAATCAGCGACGGGAAGCCGTGGGAGCGAAGAAACTGCGGCGAGCAAACGGCGGACGCGGAGGATGAGCAAACGAACTTGTCGCATCCCACGCGTAAACAAAACCATCTCCTGTTCTATACAAGCCGACAGTTGCCGGGTCGGAGTCCTGCGGCTTGCAAGCCTTGTCTATGCAAACTCGGTGTAGTGGGTGAGCGAGCACGAGCCTGACCGGTCGGTCAGAGCTGTCCATCGGGCCACTTGCCTGCCGAGGTATGGCATAACGCGTCTCCTCGTTTTCAGCCGGAGAGCCCGGGTCGGCTATTCGGTCACTGCAGTTTATGTGCTATTCAGGAGAACAACGAAAGCTCATCTTCCTCCCCGGGCATCCGTCATCCGGAGGTCTGCGGACAGAGCGCGAGCGAGGCGTGGACCTCAGCAGCAGGAGCTCTTCTTCTTTCGATCATTACGGCCATTGACGCTCACTGAGTGAGGGAAGAACCCGGTGGTCTGCAGGAGGGTCTCATCAGCCCATTCGATCCTGATGTTCGGGAGACGGACAATTCGCTCAGCTGAAGCAGCAATATCGCCGCTGCATTTTTTTCATCTCTCCGATGATGAGTCCTGCCTTGATTCAAGTCGAGGAGGGTCACCATCCGCTCCTGGAATCTACCAAGCCTGTCAGCCGCACAACACATAGGGAAACATCGCTGTGCGAGAGGGCGATTTTCCCCCTGTGATCACCGACTTTTCCCGGCGAAACGATCGAATCAAGTTTCCTCTTCGGCGCGGCTCCCACCCCCCCCAAGTTCTTCCGGGGGAGCTCTCGCGAGATCTCCGCAGCCGATTGGCTCATGATTTAAACCCTCTCTGGAGGGATGCTCCGGTGTGATCTTCGGCCCGAATTTTTTTTTGATAAAATATCTCTCGACTCGGCGAAGCGCCTCCGGCCAGAACGAGTGCTCCGCTCCCCCGGAGACGTCTCTGAATACGAATCCATCCGTCTCTCGAGCAGCACCTATTCCTTCAGCGGAATTCTTGAAAGCCTCGAGATGGCCTTCATCATTCTTCTGCTCCTAAGAAGGAAGACGACTGGTCCTGTCATCTCGTGCTCATCGGAGAGCCCACCTCTTCTCCTTGTTTCTGCTGCATTCGCTCCTCCGCTGCAAGCGCCTCAGGGAACCGCTTCTCTAGTCGCGGGTCAGTGTATTCCTTTCGGGACATCGATATTAATAACTTCCGACCAGTTCAACGGTCCGTCTGGCTGGCCTCATCGAGAAGAATTTATCGGCGAATGTCAATCTACACTGCTGATACCGGTGTCGTTGTAGGATTTCGGGGAAGTTCCCCGTCAAGTCGGGTCGGTTGGGGACCGTTCGATACAAATTCAAGGTTTCCGCGTCTGAAAGCAAATCGGCGGCCTAGGGAGCGAAACAGATCCTTCTGGCGTTCTACTTCCGGCCGATTTATTCCGACTTCGGGTCTGTTCCTAGAGAGAGGAAAGCTCATACTTTCTCGTGTGCCGCTCCCGGAGAACACGGACCCGAGACCAAAGGAGGCGGATCGCCGACGGCCGGGAAGCCAATGATTTCGGCCAACTTCTCAGTTTGCTCCGTGGGCTTTTTCGATGAGTTGGTTGAGAGAGAATTTCCGTATAGTAGACTCGAGAACGAATCTTGTTTCTCTGCGTTGAGGGATGGAGCCTTCCGAACGGCTTTTTTCCCCAACATCCCGTCCATCCCGAGCGATATTCCTCCCTTCAAGCGTTTCTATTCGCAGCTCGATCTCCTTCCGTCTCGAAGAACATGTGCCGGGACATATCCCCGAGTCCTGTCCCCATAAATAACATGTCCGCGGCCGTCCCAGGTTTCACTCGGGTATACTTGGGGGTTTACTTGTGGGGTGTACTTGGGGGGTATACTTCGAGGGAAGGCGGGTGGGGGAGGGCGAGGAAATATGGTCTCCGTTTCCTCTATTCCCTCGACAGGCTCTTCGCACAACGAGACAAGCGGTCCCATTCGACTAAGCATTGACTAACGAGAGACGAACTCCTTTCCGATTTCCAGGTTGCAAGTATGACCGCATTGCGAAATGCACACAGCCCGTGCGGCACGAATTGTCAGACGAGCGACTGAGTCTCGCGGCCAATCTCGAGGATCTCAAACTCTACTGCGACCGTATGGAACGAGCTCACAGGTAGCGAGGGGCGAAGGTGCTTCAATCTAATGGCGTTCTGCCATTCCTTCGAGCGAGACTTCTCGGAAGGTTGAGGCTTAAGCGTGTGCGTCTTCGCACGACGGGCCGGACATTACGCGAGAAACACCTCAGAGTGGATTGTACTCAATTACTCGCTCAATGCATACGCGGCGGTGCTGTCGACTAGAAACTAAGCTCACTTATGAATTAAATAACCTGATGAATAATATGGAGGGACGCTGCTGTCTCCGCTCGATGAGAGTAGCAGCGACGCGCAGTCGTCGTGGGAGACAACCCGACGCATATGTCATTGCATACATGCATGCGGCAAAGCGCAGAACATTTGCATTCTCATCCGGCGTCGACCGTCGACGTTCTCTTTGATACGCCGCCACCATCGTCTGGCCGGAGCGAGCGTCCCGAGAGCTCCATCGGCGACGGGGGATCACAGAAAGCACTTTCCTTTCAGATGCATCGAAATCGAGATCGATGTCTGCCCGCGCCAACTCAAAGATTCCTATAGACGTGCGATGAACGCGGAAAAATTCGTCATGGAGGACGTTTGCAAATCAGGCGATGCTCAGAAAGGTAATCCCAGCCGTTCCGTGGTAACAAGCTCGACGAGTAGCCACAGCGAGAAATCAATTCCACGATCTGCTCTGGACCGTTCACCCGGAGAGGAACCCGCTTCCCATTGTTGGCCGATGAGTGTAAACTCCATCGGGGTTTACGCTGAAGGTCGTCGTGAAAGTCATAGTCGTAAACAATCCCAGGCTTTTTCTGCCTTTGCATAGAACCTCATCGCACGAGCTCAGCAGGCTGATAATTAATTCGACTCGTGTTCAGCTATGAATGAATCTCAGCTCGAGCACAGGATTAGAGCAAGCGAGCGAGCGAAGAACATGAATAGGCTCCGTCGCCCTGGCGGCAGATAACTACTGGCACGGCTGAGGGGGCATCCGAGACTAGCTGCCTTATATGAATCGTAAATCGGCCTCTTCGCTCTCGCTACCGGCGACGATCAACAGATATTTGTATTGTTAGAGCGGAGGATATTTATTGAGTTCCCAGCTGCTCCACCGCCAATACCAGAAAGTGAGACCAGTTCACGTCGACGTCAGATAATAATGTCGGTCCCCGCTGTCTCCGCAACGACGCCACTCGATTGAATAACCCTTTATCCAGCCGCGTGACGAGGCCAATACTTCCCATAGGGTATCGAACGTGCACGCGACGAGATTAAGACTCGATAAATAGAGATCACTCTCATGCATCCGCCCCATGAGAACTCATCAGTTAGTTCCTCCTATACTCCTTTCTCGAATTTACTGCTATCATCGGGTCTTCCTGTTCGCAGAATACTTGAAATACGCACCTTGTTTCCGGGCGATGCTGATGGAAGGGGGATCCTGTCACGTGGCTTACTCTCACCTAATGGATGTGACCGTGGCCTTGAATCCATCACAACCAAGCGGCGATGTCAACCCCGAGCTCAACCAAGTTCTCCATCGTCATGTCATAGCGAATGTTTGTTGGTAAGTGCCTTAATTCCGCGCATACCGCGGTACAAATGTCATCGAATGGACTATCACTGCGTGCCGCGGATTGCTGTCACGTGCTCCGAATTCCAAAGGGGCGTAATGTCTCGCTACGGTATTATCATAATTATTCGACGTCATGAACGTATAACACAGTCGAATGAGAAGCTCCTCATTCTGGTAATTCTACTGGTTCGGGCTATTCGGGATTCTGTACCAGGACGGCTCAGGCGGAAAATTCGCCTTACGTTTCTCCCGCTCATGCCGAGTATTAATCCGGATGTGTACTAACCAAAACGCTGTCTCAGCGCTTACCACGCACTCCACGCGTGCTACATGGCAAATACGGCGAGAGATTGTGGCGCTGAAGCTCTCCAGACCTCGCTTAGATCCCTAGACAAACTCAATGGAGGAATGGAGCAAAGCTGTTCAACGGTGAGCTCAAACCCATGATCTAGGATCTGGGAGGATCTGTATGCATCTCTAAGTGCCCCGCTCGGGTAGCATTGGACATCCTCCCGTCGAGCATCATCTGAATACTTAGAGCTTATTTTCCTCGATTCTCTTGAAGGTGAAGCCATCGTGTGCGGGATACGTTGTGACTTCGGCCGCCTCACCGCTCGGCGGAGAGAGCATACTCCGCGCTATAGTCAAGGCTGTGCAAGGTGTGGGAACCCTCATCCTCAGAATATAATCCTTTCGGTTCGGAGGCCATCACCCCACGGACAAATCTCGCGAGCATTCACCCCCCTCCACAATCTACACGGGAAGGACGCAATTGTGGGAGAATCTCCAGTGCTCCCGTCTAATGAGACGAACTGATTGTGACATCCGTCTTCGGGAAAGGAATTAGAATAGACCTAGACAGACACTCGTTGAACAGGGAAACCTATCGTCGATTTGAGAGAGAGGAAGCCAACGATTCTCAACAGGTTTCACTCAGCGGACTAGCGTTGACTCTATCGGCCAACGAATTCGAACTCTGAATAGATTTCAATATATCCGGCTGGCTGACTCGCAATCGGAGTCGGACAGATAGATATGTATGTATGTGTACCTCTCGATCTCGAGTGAATATTCTCATGGGGATCTTCGAGCTATGACCCCAATCGACTCGGAATCCAAACTTTGGAGATTTCAACCCAACATATTCCCACTCGCATCCCAAGACGACAAATATCGGAGAGACCCAGTCAGTATTCAGAGCAGAGCTATAGCAAGGGGTCTGGTTTTGCTCAATCCGAAGCAAATTATTTGCGCTGCTCGCCCCCAACTCCGATTCCGAATCCGATGATGAATAGATAGGCCGCGGCTCCCCGGAATCGATGTCTTGAATCGAATGCAATTTGTTGCGAGACTCAGATTGAGTTCCACGTGTTTCTCGAATAATAGAAAATCTATAATGTAAGAATAGGAACAAGGAATGTTAGCCTCTGACGAAGCACAAAACAAGCCGTTGATCATTGATGTTCGACTTGTGGACCATGATTATAGGAGGACAAGTTTCGAACAAGAGTCGGAATATTTTACTTTGATCACTTACCCTATTCTTCATACGTGTTATAGTGCAGTCATTTATAGGGTCTGTTTTTATCGAGTTGATCGGAAAGTCCATTAAGAAAGATCTGTATATATGACATTGTTGATCAAAAGAAGGAACTTCACTCATTAATATCGAACCCCTCTCCGCAGATTATGATTATTGGATCAGTCTTAATAAATTGTGACGAAATAGAGCGACGAGAATCTGTGTCTGGAAGATAAATGTTGATCTTCAAACGCTCGCTCATCCTCGCATGCAGCGAACCATGCTCAACCCGATGATTATGCTTGAATTTTCCCGAGTACGCTTTCACAGAGCCCCAAGAATATTGACGAGAAATTCCGAGACTGGATAATACACGGTTCGATGATTTCATCGGGATTCTTTATATGTAATCCACCCAACTTCTGAGGGAGTTTTCTGAGATATAAATGATGATGATGATGATAAGCTTTTGCGAATTTCCTTTGTGCCGTTAAGATCAGAGTCAAGCTTTGTAGTACATAGTACAGCCAAGATTCTCTAATAGCTGATTGGGAGACCCGTCTCAGCTTCTCCAGGAGGTGAGCCTTCTCCTGAATCCCCATGCACCGGAGAGATTTCCTTGCGAGGTTTCACATCTCCGACGATAATTCCAGAAATGGAGAAAGATTGTAATAATGAAAGGGGATTTTGTAGGAACTCGCCGGGCCACTTTAGCCACAGAAACCGCGCGTCTCCCGATCGGGGATACCACTCGGAAAATAACGCTGTGGCGTAGGCCAAGCTATACTCTAGAGAAGATCCGGAGATATTCTTCGATGGTGAATTAGCGGAGGAAGGAATCAATGATGAGGAGGGCTCGAGAAAATGTTCGAGCTTCTTCGCGCTAAGCTGTGCTGGAACGATACCTTGTCATGTTTTGGAGCTCGCCCATCTCAGCGAATCGACTCTTATGGTCGAAATAAGATCATTCCTCCGGTGACCTCTAGTCGAGTCGCTGATGCAATTGATCTCATGTGATTAGTAATTGAGTGCGCCTCGCATCGTCAGAGTTCTCCTCGACAATGCGATTCAAGACGGCAGATATGTGGAGGATCGAATGAGCGCACGATGAGCCCAGTAGGAAATACATATATCCGAGCGATAAACCTAGGAAACCATATTCCACTTGGAGATTCCGGACGAATCGTACTCGGTCTCAGGAAGGCCTTGGAAAGTCTGGGAGATCATCGCGGGGCTGTCGGGGACCCGAGCGTTGTACATCATATTCAATCTTCACCTGCTACATCGCTTGACCATTTGGCGGCTCTTCTCATCGCCCGTCTCAGAATACTCGCTGGGGAACCTCGTCTCCCCAAGAGTTCTCACGGCTCCCGCTGATACCGAACGGTAATCATCGCGATTCGAACCATCGCAAGGGTCAGCGCTCACACGCGGTCTCCCCATGTGTGTGTGGTCAGAGATGACGATTCGTCCCTTGAAGTCTTCACTGACGGATGCCTCACAGAGACGGTCGTCAAGCAGACTAGGCGATTTTTAGTTCCGGAACTCTCGGGGAACGGCAGAGAGCCAGCTGACCATTGAGGCTCTATCCAGAACGCGCTCCAAGCAGGTCATCGGGATCAGGAGCCAAAGTGGAAACCACATCTTATCCTGTCATACGACAGTAGAGCAGTGTTTCCCAAGAGTTTTCCTCCGGTGGTCCACATTCGGAGTACGGAAGCTATCCAGGGCCCACAAGCACTAACAGAATACCGGAGAGAGCGGGCATCTCAGGGAAAGAAAGATGACGCTGACGAGAAATAAGGTCTGAAAGCATCAGTCTATCCGCAAATGATTGGCTAGGGTGATTCCACTGAACAAATTCAGCACTTGATGAATCTCGCTATGAGCCCTGAATCGGTAGTACGGAGTACTGCGGAAGTTCCTTGACCCCCTGGAAAATCGCCGTGCCCACCGGTGGGGCACTTGCCCGCTCTTGGCGAGCACTGGAATAGAGGGAGCGAAGCGTTGCCCGCTGAATCATCGCATCAGCACAGTGTCACTGTAGCTCCACATTGGAAATGACTTCACGGCGTATGCTGCAGTAGACGACGGAAGTGGTATCAGCGGAGCCCGAGAATTCATGATGCGCGACTCACGACCACCAACTCAGAATTAATCCCTTTGCTGCGGAGCGCTCGTTACGAATGCGCAGTACGAAATGATGGTCTAACTGAAAGCCTCATTCTCATCAACTAATGGAATCCGTAATTATGCGAGATCCGGAGTAATATCAATCATTGGGTAATTAAGGATAACCCCGGGAAAAACATCAGAGCGACTTCACCGAATCGACAGCCCTGAATCAGCAGCAGAAACCTTGCACATGGGCGTTAATTCGCATCTTCAACCAAACAATCAGTTCATCCCTTTGGTTGCATCATCCTGGCTAGGGGAGAGGCGACGCGTCGCCTTCTCGGGCAAACTCCTCCTTGATTTTCTGTCGGTCGATCTTGCCGGGAGAAGGCGGGCAAGTGTCATTCTCCGATTGTCCGTCAGCCTTATGCAAGACCAGATCCAGAAGAGAATCCGTCTTCGGTGACAACCCTGAATGTTTCCGTCTCTCTAGCATCTGATTCATGCGAGCAAAATGGAGATTCAAACTATATGAGCGTGACAGCCAGGAGGAACGGAGTAAATTCTCTATCTCCCGTGGTCTTTATTTCTCTTCAAAAAGAACCAGGAGACACACACGGTGCGTCGATCACACAATGACGCTACTGGAAAGTCACATGGAGAAAACCACACACAACAGCAGCAAGCGACCCACGACAAACATTATGAAGTGCACGAAGAACAGGGACTAGGAAGAGATCGAAGACGATGGTGGACTTGGGCGAAGTTCCCTCACAAGCACACACATATATGTACATATTCGCACGCACGCATACGAATGTGGGCCGGAATAACTAAAAAATATTTTCCTCTAGCTCACTGACGAGTAATCCTAATTCCATCCATGACTTGAAGCTCGGCTGCGGTGCTGAGATCCGTACTGGGCAGCGGCCTGTTCGCCAGTGACCGCCGAGGATTCGAACACCACATCGGCGGGATTCTTGGACTCGGTTCCGAGTTCGTTTGTGACAATCTTGGCGTGGAATCCGCTTTCGTCGGCGTGATATTCGACTCTCCGCTTGGTGCCGTCGGCCATCTGGATCATATAATGTCCTCGAACAGTTCGTCCATCGGATGTTTGACTGTGGCCATGCGAGCCATCGTGGTCCTCAGCTGAGTAACTGAACTCATAAGGCTGCGGCGGACCGTAATTTTCTTCAGAGGCACCGTAGCCCCCACCGTGTCCCCCGTAGCCTCCGGGAGGACTGGCCAGCACGGCTGTGCAAGCCGCGGAGACCAAGCAGACGAACGCGAAGCTTCTCTGGAATTCGGGAATCGGAGACTTAGCTGGAAAGTTGTTCTATTTAGAGACTCTGTAGCCTTCGACCATGATTGTGGTAAAGCCGTCGTTGGAGCCATTACGCTCCGTGCGTACAAACCATTTCCAAGAGAGTCAATAGCTTCCCGGGCTTCTAACTAATAGCCGGCAGAACAGGAGGGCGCTTTAAATAAATCTGGTCGGTGGGGATGAGAGGCGGAAAGTGAAAGTACTTTCACTTCCAATCCGATCGCGGTTTGTTGTACAACCTTCCTGTCGGAAACTAAATTGCGATTGCGTCACCGAATTCGGAGGGTCGTGATCGATTCTGAAGATTTCGATCAGTCGTTGGTGTGAACTTCACCTTCAAATCTCTGCCGCTTCAAGAAGTGCCAGACATGCGAAATCATGCCGCAGAATTTCCCCTCAGATTCTATCCATATTAGCATTTTTGACGGAAGCCAGATGAGCTCTGAAAATCAGCGAGAATACCTCCGGAGGCTCATCGAGTGTGCATGCCTTACAGAGTCGATGGAGAAAGCCATATCGGAGACGTATCAAATAAGGAGCCTTTCCATCGGAGTCTATGGGAAAGCAGTTTCCTTCTGACATGCAGTCCATGAGAAGCCGAGGGTCCCTTATGCGCGGGGCGGAGTCTCATGAGCTGTAGAAAATGACAGTGATGAGATTGTATTGAACGCCGACTTCGATGGGGGAGGGGGAAGGCGTAGTCGACGATTTCTGATTCCATCAACCACGAGCTCATCGTGCGGTAGGTGAGTGGAGTGTTCCCGGAAGAGGCACGATACGTCACACTGGTATATGGTGAACAAGATTGGTCGCTCTCAGTGCCGGGCCGTCGCCCTCGCCCCCGTCCTCCTTCCAGAAGGATGTGGCGATAAAGTGAGCAAGACGGTCGTCGCTCATGAGTAGGGCTCGACTTTCGTCGAAGCTTTTTAGCCGGAAATTCGCGGCAGTTTCAGGCTCCCATACACTTTCTATGGGGGAACGCCCCGCAATGCAACGAAAAATCGCGGTCGACCGCGACGAAAGTCGAGCCCTCCTCATGACTAGGCGTGTAAATTTTTCGCGGACCACGATTTTTCCGCGAATTTTCGCGGAAATTTCCGGCTACTCCCCATAGAGTTTCAATGAAGGCCGCAAATTCCCGCGAATTTGGCGGGAATTTTCCGCGAAAAATTTACATCCCTACTCATGACTCATGAGGACTCCGGTCGGGGAGAGAGCACCCTCTCGTCTTCGGTTCCGGATTCTCCTGACGCGGGCAAAGAGATCGATTCAACCGTATTCCTACCCGACCATATCAACGATCATTTTTTTCCGAAAATTTGCTCCGGCCCTCCACCGTTTCGCTCCAAGGGATCTGATAGTCACCTGCGGTACGTAACACCATTCGGTCGACCACGCTATCGTTCATATGATGTATAGGATACACTCACAGGTGGTCGAGTTACCTGTCTATTTCTCTCGCAATTAGTTATAATGTCCTGCAGATAAATTGGCAGACGGCCTTTTTCTGACCGCGATTCCGCTTCGGAAGCTATCTTGTTCGTGAGGTGAAGAATGTTGACGCAATGTTTCAGTAAAAATGATCAAAACGTCAAAAATCGTCCGTTCGCATTCCTCCTGCCATTAACGAGCAGATCTTCGCGCTGACCCGAACGACCTTTGTCGATGATTTTCTTCCTACCGACTGCTGCTCGTCGGGGTGTAACGTATTATTGCTCTTCATTTCATAACAATTCGTATCTTTCCCGCCGATAGCCACCAAGGCCTCGGCTGCCGTGTGAACATCCATCCCTTTGATTAGAAGACAAAGGACGACTGAGCGTGGATGACCGAAGTTAACATTCAATCCACCAACTGGGCCCGCGGCCAACTGTATCACTGTGCGGTCACCGGTCATATCATAGAGTTTTCGCCCTGCAAAAAAACAGGATCTGTTCTTCGGAGTTCCCGATTAGGTGTGGGTTGATTGGCAAGAGTCCATAGAACGGTGACGCAGTCAAATATTCCTGTCTCGAGAGAAAACTATACTCGTTAAGCACTTAAAGTCTCGGAGAGTCCGCTTCATCTCTGAGAATATTTGGAATCTCTCGACGCAGGATTGGACGGCAAAGGTCATGGAGCATTCGATACTAATAATAATCGATGATTGGGGTCCTTGGGATGCGATTCACTTAGGAATCGGCGGCGCAGAGGTACAAAATCACTTTTTACTTCGAGTCTTTTTCCCAAAAGCTCCACCATCAGTCGAAGCTCTTGAGCTCAGGATGCGACGCCAGTTCAATCTCTGACCCTTTTCCGCTTCGGAGACGTTTCTCGAGGCCCCAGCGGGTCGCTCATGGAAATTTCCCTCCTTCCGCGAGGAATGCAGCTCCCAGCTGATTATTCGCTGCTCAATCTGAATTCCAAATCATGATGCTCGGTTCATCGTCGTAACGGCTCGCTATCTGGCACCGTCTCGGCTCCTGACAGTCCTTATGGTACGGGGGGTGTGCAGTTCTAGGGCCCAAGTTTCCACGCGGGAAATACCATGGGCTATGTGACACTGAGCTCACGAAATCATCGAAGCAAGATTCGTAGTACGACCTTTCATAATGGAGCCTGACTTCGAGTCTTGAAAATTCATCAATTAGAGGAGCGACTCGCGAAGACGGATCGTTATAGTCTGCAAGCGGCGGGTAGCGATCCAGTAACAGCAATCGTGCTCGACCTTGTTGATAGGGCCTGCCCCATGAGTGCCAGAGATCCACTTCGCTGATATTGACTAGTCTGCTCATCATCCTCATGAATCCCAACTTCAGATGCTCAATATCAATGCGCCCCGAGCTTCGTCCCCGATCATATTCATGTTCGACTCTCTTGACCTCCAGGATTCTCGTTCGCCCCAGCGTGCCACCCGTCGAAATCACATCTTCTCAGCCTGCTTAAACGCTTCATTCGCAGGATCTGATGGCGATTTAATCTGCCTCGCTGCGGGATTGCTATTTTCGATACTAGATCTCTCCTGCATAACTCCAATGACCGTATGCTATTGCGCAACCGAAATCTGGAATACAGTAAGCTCTCGACTATTCGCGGTTCCTCACCCATGGTCTTGACGGCTCTCCCTGTGATACATCGATTTATATCAATATGATCCGCCCTATTCCCACGACCGAGGACTCTTTTCGGATACATACTGTTGTATCTTAAAAATTTGATGGGAGTTTCGAAAGATCCGCGGAACATCTAGTGATGAGGTGACGTACCGACATGCGCGCGCTTCAAAAAAGACAAACGATCGTGCCAGCGGCCGGACCCCGGTTTTCCGTTTTCCCCCTCGAGTTCAAGGAAATCCATGAGCTCCGCTGAGAATGAACGTCATCAACCGACTTCGAAAAAATCATGGGGTTCGTTGCGCAGACTTGCTTCATTAAACACTTCTCACCGTGAGGCGTGTCGCGACGGAGAGTACTTCGAGGTGGGTGTCGCTCCTCGCTTGAGGACTATCGTCTTCCACTTGACTAGGTGACGAAGTCATTGTGCATCCCTCAGCTGAACAGCAGCATTACCCTTAAGGCACTACCAGGCTTTGACTATAGTCATGAAGCGGCCAGACGTATACCATCTTCACCCTCCTGGCGATCCGGGAGCTGATTCCTTTCTACAAGATCGGGCCATCTGTCTCGCTCCGACGCCGTGAATTCGTTTTCCGAAAGCCTGTGTGCATCCAGGTGATTATACATCCTCAGCTCGTCGACTCAGGGAATCAAGCTGAAGGAACTACGAGATGTGAGATGATCCCCGATTTCCGGAGGCAAGGTTGAGTGGGGGCGAGACTCATCCGACAAATAATATAATGGATTCATGAGCAATATATCATGCTTATCAAGGATTCATTTCATCTCTGGGAATAACCCATAGCTCACACTGCCCCGTACTGTTCAGGGCCATTTATGGAAAATAATTGTTTCGATGAGTAGCGTAAATGTCGATCTTGTGGATTCCACACCATAAACAAACTCTCCGTAGATTCTGTGGCTGGGAAGCGTAAGAATTGGCTTCTCTTGTGATCCCCTCGCACGGATAAAGCCTTAATTAGTGACTCGACTTACGATTCCCGGGGTATTTTTCTTGAATGGATGAATATAGAGAATAATATAATGTCCCTCCAATAATAAGTTGGAGGGACAAATTCACCGGAGAGGCAAGAACAATGATCAGCGGCAGTGCTCCGCTCCTGACTTGATGACCTTGCTCTTTCGGAGCTCGAAACTCAAATTCTGCTCGCTCAGACTTAGCGAAAGATATTGACCGCCCCCGAACAAATGATAATGTACGCCCGATGCCGGGAAGCAATGCTTTCCGGAGATCGAGCGACGGATGGTCATGCTCACCCTTCGGCTAGCATCCCGACGAATTTCAACTAATTTGCCGATAAGTTCGAAGCGGAATCAGCTCATTTCTGCGCATCCGACTCCCGCCGCCATCGAGGACTTCGACTCGCTTCGAGCTCAATCCAGGGTCACAGTTGACACGTCGGCTTCTGGCACGTGAACCGTACACGATCGAATGATCCCATTCAGCCTCCGGATGAACTCCAGCAGCAATAAAGAATAACATTGTGAGTCCCGGTCGGTTCTGCCGTCGGCGTCGTCTCGCCACTCGCAGGACCTGGGGTCGTTTCGGAGGGAGCGAATGTTCGGAATTTAGAGAATGTCGAATCGGGAAGAGCAGAAATGAGAGAGATCCGAGCCAATCGATGGACAGCTGCACGCTGCCGTCGAGGATCGGAAACATTCGCGCGGAAATTCCTAAAAAACTCCGAGGGTCTAGCTCTGCTCGTGCTTCGCAAGTCCCACCTGCCGGAGAGAATTTCTCACGAAATGTATTTCGAGGTCACAAGTAAATGCGGGAGCGATGGGCGACAGAAGTCCCTCCACGGAGGATTCGGTCCGTTGTAGAGTCTGAGAGTTTCCACTCGCCCCGAGCTGTATGGAAAGGAGAACCAAACTGTGCTTACTTAGAGCAACGTCACAGGCACAGAAGGTGTCTCGAGCGATAGGTAGTATCTGTTTCACGGTGATCAGCTGCTTGAGACAGCGAGGAAATTATTCAATTTATCAATTTGCGGCGCGAACGCTGTCGGCGGTGAGTTGTTAAAAAGCCCGAAGAATTTGTCACTTCCGCCGCGCAATCCCTTTGCCCGTTGCCTTTATGGAGGAGGACATGAGGCCCGGAAACGCGGCAGCCTTTGAGACAACTGATATTCCAATCATATGGACGTGAGATGGTGCCTGCCCTGTTGAGTCTCCCACGGTTGGTGACTCAGATGCTCCCGAAGCAAAGCCGTTCGGAATCGAGCAATGCGTGAGCGGAGCGGCGCTCTCATGCCGCGAGTTGTTCGCAGGGCTTAGGAATCGGCTCTTCGCTGATTCCCTCTATTTTGGTTCCATAGAATCGGCTTCCCACCGGGTGTGTTCAGTTCCCGGTCCGTCCCGGACAGAGCGAGCTATTGTGCCAGAAAGCGCGTCAAATTACGTTGTCCGAAGGACGTCGATTTTACATCCAGAGTGAAATTCAAGACGCTTCCTTTCTCGAAGGTTCATCGTGTGTTTTCATTCGATTGCATTTGCGTTTCCACAGTTCAGATCAGTTTTCGAGCTCTGTCGAGTGAATCGATGCTTATTCCAAGTTCGTGTGTCCATTCCTTCTTGGAAGTCGACGATGGGTAGTTCGCTTTTTTCCGCGCGCTATCTTCGCGATTCGGCTTGATTGGCGCAAATTCACGATCGAGTCGGTCAAACGAAGTGATTATTATCGATGCATAAACAAGGCTGTTGACGCCATGCTGAGTTGTATGGAATCATTCTCTTTTGAAGAGATGACGAAAACAGTTCATGCCTTTTCGGGTTCGGGAGTATATGTGCCAGGCGAGGGCCTTCAAAACCTTCAGGCCGTGGGTCGCAGCAGGTTCCTTTTCCGAAAGCAAGCCCCCGCTTTTGAGGAAGCTGCAATATCCCCGCTCGGTGTCAATCAATCATCGAGAGACATGGGATAGGAATCTTGGGTCAGAGACGGGCTTCTATCCGCCAAATCGAGAGCCTTTGACTACAGGGAAGATCAACGACTCGATGTCGCGAAGTACATTTAGGCTGAACTACATCCTCCGAGATTTCTGAGATTTGACGGTCTCGCGGTCTCGACGCAATAAGTCAGGACTATCGGAGGAGTCCACACGTAGTCTGAGGGATGGGGTCTCTTTTGACTGATCGAATCCAGCAGGCGAATCGCATTGGCCAATTCCTGATCTGTGTTCTCTCTCTTTGACCATTAGGAGGATTAGATCAGAAATCTTCAGAGCGGATAAACTTTTTAAGGGCTCTGGAGCTGAGCGGCGGACCATCAATCGGAGACATGGCCACTGGGACATGTGTGTCTACGGGCTTTCTGTCTCTGTTCCGAGAGAGCTAATGATCCGGAAAGCGACTGACGAGGATCAGACGATGAGCAGACTGACGGCAGACCGGCTGCTCTGACCCGCGATAGGCTAACCGACTCAATGTGGAGGCGTCCGATCTCCGAAACCCGCGTCCTTGGATTGCGGCTCCGCTTTGCACGGGTGTTTATTAGCTCGGAATCGAGGATACAAGAGCTAAGTGAAAGCCTCAGCAGGAGGTCTCTCGATCAGCGGTTCCTTCTCTATGCGTATGATCGAAGAAGCTGGATGCTCATACCACCAGCTGCAGAAGACACGAAGCTATGAGAGACTTACGAACGGAGTAGATTGCGAATCAAGTCGAACGATTCGCT